TGGTGATGGTGAGTTTAAAGTGAGAAAGAGCGAAGGTGAGAGAAAGAGAGAGGGAGAGGGAGAGGGAGAGAGGGAGAGAGGGAGAGGGAGAGCGAAGAGAAGAGAAGGCGACTGGCGTGAGCGTGGAGTTGGGCGGGGATGGAGATGCGGGGGTGGGGCGACAGAAGTGAGGGCGAAAAGGGGCCAAGAGTGAAGATGAGAGAAAGACCTTGAAATGCTGACAAAACCCTCAACTTATATTTGTAGGGGCTCATGGCCGAAGCGTTTAGGACCTTTTCCTCTTTGGGTTCGGGCTTTTGTGACAAAAGCCCCATTTCGAGCCCCTTCCCCCCAAAAAGCCACAAAACAAATCGCTAACCCCCCAAGACTCTATTTCATCTCTGAGCATAACATACTAAGAGTCAAGCCTATAGGCCACAAAGGCCTGGTGCCACAGTTCGCATTGAGGAGTTCGTGTGTGCATGCGTTCATAGTTCACTTACATGGAGGCAAAAAGAGAACTTTTTTGCCACCCGCACCGCACACGCATGGGTGAGGCTGCAGGTGAGCAAGCTCTCAAACTCGGGGCTGTTAAACTCTCAAGCTCGTCTCTTCTTTCTTGCAACTCTCAAGCTCGAACAGGCGTCAAAGTGCCAACCTCTCAAACTTTGACACCTGTCAAAGTTTGAATCTCTCGAACTCTCAGGGTTTCGAACTCCGAGCACCCGAGCCAACGTGTGTTTAAAGCTCCCCAAATCGGGCGCATTCAAACATTCGAGCTCGAAAGGGCTTCATGTTCCGGAGTCTCGAATCTCGCGACCCCGAAGAGCTCCAAACCTTCAAGCATTCACGTTTCAAGCTCGGCCTACGCAAGCGAGAGAATGGAGGCATTGACCTTCAGAGGCGCTCTCTCTCTCGCTCTCTCTCTTTCTCTCTCTCTTTCTCTCTCTCTATTTCTCTCTCTCTCTCTCTCTCTCTCTCTCTCTCTCTCGAGACCTTGCAACAATTTTGAGCCGTTCTTTTTGCAGGCACCAAATTGATCTTCTAAGGGTGAATAAAACTGCTCTCAAGGTTCGAAGTTCAGAGCCTGCCTCAGCGTAGTCTGAAAATGATAATTTCACAACTTGAACCTTTGACACTTTGTAGCTCAACTGTCGGAGAGCTCGGCCACCTCTCAGACTTTGCTCGAAACTCTTCGCTGAAATCCCCCAACTTCGAAGCACCTTCGCTCGTGACACCCTTCCGAGAAAAAAAAAAAAAAAACATGCAACGCTTGCCCGAGTCTGCTAAACCCTAAACCCTAAACCCTAAACCCTAAACCCTAAACCCTTCAGCGGCCCAAGAGTCCGGATGAATGACCTTGCTCGGCTTGCATCCTTCAAACCTGGCGCCACTTTGCGGATCTGTTTTGAGAGAATTGACAAGTTCTGTCGAGGATGGCCCTTAAAACCCTCTGAAAAATATTCCTAAACATGATCCTCTCAAACCCAAGAAGGGAAAATATGAAATATCCCAAGGGCCTACCTAGCCATGGCCCCTACTGGCAGGCAGACAACAAGATCACGCCCATCAAGGGACGCAAGTGTGCATGCGTATGTTGTGTGTGTGTGTGCGTGCGCAGAAATCATGTGCTTGTGGAACTTGGCACTTGCTCCCCTGGTAGACCATCGTTGGCCGTTTTGTTATGTTCTCCTTATGAAGCCGTGAAAACCCCTGTGACTAGTCAAACTCGTTTCCCCAACCAGGACCCTTAGATTAGATTCACAACCCTGCAGGAAGACGCGCTCTGGGAAATCCAAGCCGCATTTCGAGATGCTTCTTGGCCGAGCGGTTCTTCAGGACCTTCATGACTCAGGCTTAGGTGTGGTGGTATTCCCCGGCTGACACTGCACCAGCTCTGTACACAGATCGCACTCAAGGGCCTCATGTGTGCAAAGGAGCTCTCCTCACTTGAGAAAATGCCGCCTCGTGCGGTTCCGGGGAAATCGCGATGATGGGAGCCTGTCGGTATCTACTTTCCTCCTTCACCACATGAACCCTCCGACGACAGTACCTCTACAAGGGACGTAGGCCAGTTTCGGAGATGACTACCCTTCTTCTTAGTTGTCCAGTACCAAGCGGTTTTAAAGGTTAACCTTTGGGATTATAAGGGGAACATATTAACCCAAAAAGGTTAAAGGTTACCTACTCTACTACTAAGTCTTTGAAGTGAGGAATTGAGTCAGGGGGCTCAAATCATCTGAAGGACTTGGACTTCGGGTTTGGAGAAGCAAGACAAGACTTTTGGTCTTTGCCTACGGAGTTGGAGTGGCGTCTCTGAGCTCAATGTAACTGCAGCTTGCCTTAACTCTGCAAGTTGCCCATCAATGCATGTGATCCCTGGGATCCACGGTGAATCGGAGAGCCGCGGTTCTTAGACTTGACATCAGCAGCTCCCAGGACCCAAAGAACTCCGACGCTCCACGCCAGTGCCTGCTTTCTCTGGGCGAAGCTGCCTCAATCGTCAAAGCAGCACGAAGCCCCCGAACCCACAAGTGGTCTGAGGCAGCCGGCGGGCCAAAGACACGTAAGGCCGTGGTTTTGTTGGTGAACATTCACGGCCAGGGCTCTGTAGGGGCCTGCTAGGGAAACCCCCTCAAAACCTTCCCCCCCCCCCCCCCCCCCCCCCCCTCAAGGGCCTGCGCGTAGATGCCAAACTCTGCACTGCTGCTGAGACGACGAATTACTACACGACTCTTTGCAATTAAAGAATACCTGCAACTGCTATACCTGTGGCAAATATTTTGGTTCAACGAAGGACGCCATGCTTGGAGGCTCATGGTACCTACTAACTGTACTGATAACCCACTTATAAGCCCCTAAAAAGAGCCCCACTTATGATGATAAGTACAGTTGTGTAAGTACAGCTAGAATTTGGCTCAGAAGTACCCTGAACCACCAAGTAAGGAACTCAAAGCTAGGTTGCCAATCATCTCCTTGAGCTCGTCCATCTTTTGATTCTCCTGGTTTAGGGTTTAGGGTTTAGGAAACAGGGTTTAGGGTTTAGGGTTTAGGGTTTGGGGTTTAGGGCTTAGGGTTTAGGGTTTAGGGTTTAGGGCTTAGGGTTTAGGGTTTAGGGTTTCGGGTTTAGGGCTTAGGAAACAGGGTTAAGGGTTTAGGGTTTAGGGTTCTCTGCGTAAACACGGGGGCTCAATAATTAGAACAGGGTTGGGGGGGTGATTATAGTATAATATAAGGACCATGAGGGAGTACTATTATTCCGTCGCTGCGCAAGGAATTGACACCAAACGGGAGAAGTCAGCCGAAAAGGCACCACGACACCGAACGGGAAGCATCAGCTCGTGACAACCAAAGCCTTTCAAGGGAAGCAATGATAGCCTCTTCGTCTTGAACCGAAGCCACACTCTGGAATCCCAACTGGCGGTAGCCTAAACCCTAAGCCCTAAACCCTAAACCCTAAATCCTAAACCCTAAACCCTAAACCCTGATTTAGGAGACGATAGGGCTTCAAGGCCAGGACTTGGGTTCAAGGGTGGGTACTTGCCACGGCGGCCTGGTGTACAACTTCGAACGAAGAGCTTCTGAAGGCTATTTCGCCACTAAGGGGAAGCTTGAAGCAGGAGTGTTTCGGGAAGCTGGAAACAGGAAGCCGGAAGCTTTAAAAGGCGCCAATAGAGGCGTCTTCATGGACTGTTCTTCTGTGCCTTCTTCTCAATAAACGCTTTGAGCTCGGCCATCTGGACCGACTCCTGCACCGAATCGCAGGCCAAGTGTCCCCCCCCCAAACCATGGAGCACAGTGGACAACAGACTCTCTCCCAACCTTTCGTCAGCTAGCCCCACACCCCCACGCACACACACAGAGAGCCTTGCCCGATCCGTCCGCGTCAAGCGAGGTGCCATGGTCCTCCACAGGGGGCGCTGCATGGAACTTGTTCGGGGGGCCTCTACCGCTCGGCATCGCTTAGATACGCTAAGCCCTTTCAAAAAAGCGGCTCTCCTGCCCCATCTTCCGTGCTGGAGTAGATACCAGCATCAGTGAAAGTAATAGCTTCATAACCTTGCAAACTGACTTGAGCCATGCCTTGCTTGCTCCGAGAGTTCATAGCTCTGACACGACGAGTCGTCCCTCACAAGATCCCGCCATAAACGCTGTCCAAGCCACGTCAGGTAGAGTGACGAAAAGTTGCTTCCTTGGTTGTAAGAAGAAGGGTGCTCATCAAATCTGGTCATCCCATCACAAGGACGCCTCAGAAAAGTACTTTGTCTCGCCAGAAGCTATCGAACTTGAAAGACTATAAGGCCCAGCACCGGCCGCCAAGCGGCATTATGTCAAAAATGGATTGCCTCAGAGCTTCAGAAGAACAGACTCACAAAGCTGCTCCAACCAGGTGCCTTCGACCGACATGCATTGTGCCTGCTACCAGACAGGACTTGGTGTGCTTATATATATATATATATATATATATATACATAAATAGATAAATAGATAAATAAATAACGATATATATATATATATGAACACATGTGGTATACATTTTAAAATGTGAGGATGTGTTGAAGGTGCGGACAAGCTGCTAGCCAGCTGCAATGGGAATTCCATCACCAAGCAACCGCCAGCGGAACGTGCCCCATTAAGGGCTTGAACCGGCATATGCAGAATGAAGAAAGCTACTCGGAGCCCTGCATCTTCTGTGTTACCGGAGACTAGTTACCAACATGATCCCTTTAGAATGCTTGCATCGTTGTTATAGAGAAACTACTCATGATACCTTTCCAAATAACATCGTGTCCCATTAACATGGCACTCGGGATCACGACACAGTTTCGCGACGTCAAGTGGAACAATACTATTTCTAATGCCAGTAACCATCATACGACGTTAGAAATCAGAGTAGGAGCACTTTTCTGGCGCAAAGCAAGGTGCACGTTGCACTTAGGACTTAAGTGCCGCACCTGATTGCGGGTGAGAGGGAATACGTGATTGTGCGGTGAGCCAGCCTGGCTTGCCGCTTCAAGGCCTCAAGCTTCAAGCTCCTTCATGGTTCTGCCGTGGTCCAGGTAGGGCAGATACCAGGCAGGAATCTGTCCTTCCATCATGTGAACAGATACTTCCGTGCTGTGCACAGCAGGGCCTTGGAAGGTTTAGCGCACGCGGACACCCCGTATGGTCCTTCGACCTTGCATGCGGCCTTCGAAGCCGCGCTGAAGCTGGACTTCATTCGATCAACCTTGCTCAAAAGGGGTTTTCGGAAGTTCATTTTGGTCTGGGAATCTGTGTTACTTGCGAGCCATGGCTGTTTCTGATCTTGACCTAGCAGCGGCATTGTCCACCACCTTGATGTCGGGCTCTGGAAGTCCCGAAACTTCGAAGCGGTCATAGAGCATCCTGAAGCCAGTGGGCCAGTGGCTGCAATTCGAGTCAACCACCAATTCTGAAAGCACGCATGTTGACCCAGCGGACCTAATCAGATGCCCTACGACAGGCGCACCAAGCAAAATATACCGCGTGCTCCTGCCACGACGCAGTCCCAACACTTCCTAGCATGAGTGGCGCCTGGATATAAGACGCTATAAGTAGGGCTTTAAGTACCCTAAATGTAGGGTGATAAGTGTATAGATACCATAATTACAACCCCCTTATAGCTACCCATGACAACCCTAAACCCTAAACCCTAAACCCTGAACCCTAAACCCTGAACCCCAACACCCTAGAACATGACAAGCAGATGCTTCCCTCACCTCATCCCCAGGAGTGCGTCACGCATCTGCTCCAGGGTCTGCTGTGCCAAGGAGGACTCGCAACCTCCCCACGGGTGCGTCAAACGCAAAATGCCTCCTTGGGTCCCTTCCATGCCCCATGGAGGCTCTACATATGTGTGTATATGATTGTATATACATACATACATACATACATTACATACATACATACATACATACATACATACATACATACATACATACATACATACATACATACATACATACATACATACATACATACATACATACATACATACATACATACATACATATATATATATACATATGGTCCCTACACATATGTATATATATACATATACATATAATATATATATATATATACATATATATATATATACATATATATAATACATATACATATACATATACATATACATATACATATACATATATACATATACATATACACATATACATATACATATACATATACATATACATATACATATATATATATATAAGATATGTGTTGTATGCATATGTGCGTGTTCACGTTGCAAGAAGCTCGGTTCGGGCAGCTCTGCCAGGCGTTATTGCAAGGCAGTTCGACGGGGTAGGTCCAGGCGCAAGAGCCAAGCAGACTGAAGCCCCTAAAGCGACCATTCCATGCAGTGACCTTTCGTTTAAGAAGTGCATGGAAGTAAGGCCTTGGGCGCGCTTGTAACCCGCCTTCTTGAGTGAAGAACGTGTAGAATGCCTCGCCGTCGACGATGTGGGATGCGAGCTCGCCTTGGTGCTTACAACGAACCATCGCACGAAAGATCCATGAAGTAAACATATACTTGCCCCTTAAGTGCCCTAGAAGGGTTATGATTGGGTTTAAAGTGCAGTTATAACTGGGTTCCTAAGTACCCTGAACCTCCATTTATGGCTTGGGGTTTAGGGGGTCGAGGCTTTGAAGCATCCGAAGCAGACTCAATCGCGACCACATGGGCTCTTTACACATCGACTTGCGTGTCTGCACACCGTTCCCCCGAATGACCCTCCCGAAACCTCTAATGGACAGACCCTAAACCCTAAAGCCTTTGTTTTTGAACCTGGGCTCTGAAGTCCGTAAACCCTAAACCCTAAACCCTAAAGACTCTGCTGCAGCCGGTGCTCCCACCAGGTTCGAGCTGTGACGCCACGCTGTCTTCAGCGCCCTCGCAAACTCACAAAGTCATTCAACTTTCAACCCTTCCGGGGTCACTACGTTGGGGGTTTAGGGGGTTTAGGGGTTTGGGCTGTATGGTGTAGGGTTTAGACACGTTTCAGGCTCGGAAGGCGTAGGTGTCCGGAAAACGTGCCGAAGGCTCCCCCGACGGGCCGCAAAACGTAATCCGTCCCCTGCAAGCCCGGCTAAAAGAGCTGGGGAGTGGGGCGGCCTAAACCCTCGACCCTATAATCCCTATAACCCTCCTCCACGTCTTCGAGCTTTGTGTGTGGAAGGCCCTGAACCCTAAATTATAAACCCCAAGCCCTACTAAGCCCTGAGCCCCAAACCCTAAACCCCAAACCCCAAACCCCAAACCCTAAACCCTAAACCCTAAACCCTAAACCCTAAACAAGGGCCTGTGGGAGCGGTCAGTGGTGGCCATCGCCTGCTTGTACACCGCCAGCAGGCTCTGGAAGCTCGTGGCACCTGGGAGCTTAGATTAGGGTTTAAGGGTTAAGGGTTAAGGGTTAAGGGTTTAGGGTTTAGGGTTTAGGGTTTAGGGTTTAGGGTTTAGGGTTTAGGGTTTAGGGTTTAGGGTTTAGGGGTTTAGGGGTTTAGGGGTTTAGGGGTTTAAGGGTTTAAGGGTTTAAGGGTTAAGGGTTTAAGGGCTCAAGGGCTTAAGGGCTTAAGGGTTTAAGGGTTTAAGGGTTTAAGGGTTTAAGGGTTTAAGGGTTTAAGGGTTTAAGGGTTAAGGGGTTTAAGGGTTTAAGGGTTTAAGGGTTTAAGGGCTTAAGGGCTTAAGGGCTACAGGGCTTAAGGGCTTAAGGGCTTCAGGGTTAAGGGCTGATAAGCATGACTTGTTCAAAGATTCAGGGTCACCTTTGAGGGTTTGTTCTTGCTCCTCGCCTGGGATGCTGGAGGCTCTGAAGAATCCGAAGCCCTTTTGAAGCCCTAAACATTGGGATGTTCCCGCTTATACTAACAGTCCTTAATCGGGATTATTAAGTACCTATTAAGGACTGGTAGTACAAGGGGGAACAGCCCGACCTAAACCCTACACCCACAGCCCTGAGAACCCCGAGCATCCTACAACCACCACCTCAAAGGGCTCCAAGCACCGACCATGGGATCGTATGCAGTCTTGGGAAGCGGCATGGCAAGAACATAGGGGTTCCCAAATTAAGGTTTAGGGTTTGGACCTTGGCATTGTGATCCTGACATTCCCGCATTCAGTCCAGTCATGCCATCTAAGCTTAGGATTCAGAAAAGACTGGCACAAAAGCCACTTCAGTCATATGGGGTTTCCGAAATTAGGGGTACCTTATTGGGGTCCTTCTTATAAGGGGATCCTACTATTTGGGGATCCATATTGGTCAGTATGGATCTCCCTCATTTTCGTAAACCCGCATATCATGGCCAGGGCGCACTGCTGATACTGCGCGATGGCATGCGCGCCCGTTTCAAAGCCTGGAAGGCAAGGAAGGCATGGCCCAAGCTTCTACTTGGAAGCTCTTTTGACTCAGTAAGCAGGCTTAGTAAGGTGGGTTTTGGGGGATTCTTAGAGGGCTTCTCGGGGATACTAAATAGACGCACGAAGTCAAAACAGCTTCCAAGTGCAGCAGAGATGCCCTTGAGACCCCTGGGGCCATCAGCCCACTTGACGGTCTTAAGCTTCACCCCCTAATGCTTCGAGTATATTCCGGCTCCTGAATTCTTCGGAGAACCCTAAACCCTAAACCCTAAACCCTAAACCCTAAACCCTAAACCCTAAACCCTAAACCCTAAACCCTAAACCCTAGACCCTAGACCCTAGACCCTAAACCCTAACCCATGCAGTCGCGGGAGGCCTCGGGTTCCATGGATCTTCAGCCAGGGGGCTTGTGATTTCCTCCTCGGCCTGAGCCAGGTACTCGTCGAAGGCTCCCCGCAGCTTCCACCAGATACCTGTGAAGAGAAAGATGGGACACATAACTTGGGAGGTTCCCCTTAGACGAAGAGTCCTTAATGGGGATTCTAATTAGGGGGTACCAGAATCCCTATTGCGGAGCTGTTGGTATAAGGGGGAAACCTCCCAAAAGATAACAACACAGCGCGATCAACGGGCCCAGGGCGCGGTCCAGGTCCAAGAGCATGGCGTGGCGCTCCCGTAGCTCCAGCCCGGCCCTGCAGTAAGACGTCCCTTGAGAACCCCCCCCCCCCCCACAGCACACCCTTGTGTCTTTTTTCTTCTTAAGGGTGGCGGACGGGTTTAGGGTTTAGGGTTTAGGGTTTAGGGTTTAGGGTTTAGGGTTTAGGGTTTAGGGTTTAGGGTTTAGGGTTTAGGGTTTTTAGGGTTTAGGGTTTAGGGTTTAGGGGGTTTAGGGTTTAGGTTTAGGGGGGCTTTTTTTTGCCACCCGCCTAGCTGATGCAGAACATCGCACTGCAGGGGTTAGGGTTTAGGGGTTTAGGGTTTAGGGTTTAGGGTTTAGGGTTTAGGGTTTAGGTTTAGGTTTAGGGTTTAGGGTTTAGGGTTAGGGTTTTTAGGGTTTAGGGTTAGGGTTTAGGGTTTAAGGGTTTAGGGTTTAGGGTTTAGGGTTTAGGGTTTAGGGTTTTTAGGGTTTAGGGTTTAGGGTTTAGGGTTTAGGGTTTAGGGTTTAGGGTTTAGGGTTTAGGTTGAGGGTTGAGGGTTTAGGGTCTAGGGTCTAGGGTCTAGGGTCTAGGGTCTAGGGTCTAGGGTCTAGGGTCTAGCCCCCCAAAGAGGATTTGTTGGGTATGTAGGGTTTTAGAATAGGGGCTGTAGGATTCTCCATGCCCCCACAAGAGCCTCCTATACCAGGGTTTAATAGGGTCGAGGGCTTGAAAGGGCTTGTAGGATTTTGGGCTCTGTAGGGCCGTTTAGGATCCCAAAAGGCCCCGTAAGCACTGCCACCTTAATCCCTTAAAACCCTCAAAAAGCCGAACGAGCTCTAGAAAACCCCCAGCATTCCTGGGGCTTTAGGGAGAGAGAGGCCATGCCAATCCTCTGCAACCTCTTCCTTCACACAAAAAGGGGAGGTGGGGGTCTTAGGTTTCGGGTTTAAGGTAAACTGTCGATGTAAGGTGTATGGGATTTCGACGCTCACGCCCGCACGTGGCAGGCATGTTGGGATTTAGGGAAGCTCAAGGGTTTTGCAGCTTTTAGCCTCGGAGAGCTTTAGGGCCTCAGGTTGAGTTTGGGCTGCGTGGCCAACCCTGACTGGGCAAAGTTCGAAGCTGCACAATAAAGCCAGAACGTATACATCTTCGGGGCATTTGTGGCAGAAGGGCGGGACAGGAGGAAAGCGGCCCAAGCCCCCCAAAGCCTGGCCCCTAATTGATGCCAGCGTTTGGGGCCAGTGAGAGACCATGTGAGCCCAGGAGGGCACAAAGCGACGACAGCTTTCGCGAACCCAGAAGTCCAGAAGGGATGACAGTTACGCATTTAAAGCGACGACAGTTTCACAAGCCCAGACGTCCAATAGCGATGACAGCCTCGCATTTCGTGAGCACAGACGTCCAACAGCGAGGACAGATTCAAAGAGCAATGGCAGTTTTCGAAAATGGCCAGCGCGGCCACGCCCGCGCCTGTCCAACATACGAGCAGGCTTCGGGAAACTCTTAAACCCTAAACCCCAAACCCTTTTTTGAACCCGGCGCTCTATCCAATCAATCTACGTACCCCCTCTTACTCTAGATGCTGGAACCCCTTAGTGTTGGCAGACGGTTGGGAAATAAAGCATATGCGAAAGATCATAGAAAAACTCACAAACATGACACTTGTTCCCAAGTCTACAATTGTCCTAAATTTGAAATATTCTCAATCCAAGTCCGGCCTTTGACGCATCGCCTGCTTGGTGGAATTGCTCCTCCTTAGGGACGTTCTGGGTTTCAGGGTTTTGGGGTTTTGGGTTTAGGTTTAGGGTTTAGGGTTCAGGGTTTAGGTCTTGAGCTATGCTGGCTTCAGGTGTTCTTTTGGGGTCTCTTCAGGCTCACAGGAGCACCTCGGTCCTGGGGAAAAGTACCCTTAACATACTGGCTGTGAGTATAGGGAGTGAGGGAAGTCGGTACCCAACACAAAAGACTTTGCTCCAGCAGGGGCTTCGCCCGATTTCTGAATTCTTTGAAGCCATAGCAAGCAGTCTCTTTTGCGCAGAGACCATAAGAGAACATGAATCCGGCCCCCCATATTCTACGAGGGAGGCCTGAGTCTGGGGTTCCTGCGAGTGTGTTTGGGGCGGCTTTTCCCCTATGGGGGGGGGGGGGGGTATCGAAATTCGGTGTACCTTCCTTGGGTCCTCATTAAACGGGAATCCTACTATTTGCGGTTTGTATTGGGGTCCCTTATATCATCGTAAACCCCCAGAGGGTCGGGTGCTTTCGGAGGTTTTCCCGGCGCTGGGGAGTAGTGACTATCATTGAGAGGGCTGATCCTGATCTGTGGGCTCAAAGGCAGCTTCTTCCCAGCCAAGCTGCTGCCGATAGATACCCAAGTTCTGCCGCTGCAGCTTCAGGGACTCTTGCCTGCGTGACTTCTGAACAACGTGAAACGGCTCGCTGCCTGCAGCGAGCAGCCTACCACACAAATGCTTTCATGCGAGAACCTGTGCTCTGGGGGAGGCGTTGGGTCTCTAGGCGACTAACATCAAAGATTCAAAAATCTGCTTCTTAAACCCTGAACCCGATAAAAACCCTAAACCCTAAACCAAGTTTTGCCCAGCAGCATCTCGAGAGCACCCTGGATCACGGACCTCAACGGAGAGAGGCTTCAGCTTCACTAGCTTGTGCCCTGGAGAACCTCCCTACAGCCCTATATTCGTAAAAAACACAGCTTCTAACAGGTTGGGGGGGCGGGAATACTGTAGTATACCCCCCAACATGTTAGAAGCCGTACTTTACGAACCCGCAAAAAAGGATGTCCCTAGTTTTCGGAAACTCCCATGAATCGGCTTGCGAGTTTTCAGTTCTCCCTGGCCAGGGAGCTTGGCTACGTGCTCCACCTTGCCACGCTGGTCTGACGAAGTCCTGGCCGGAAAGGCAGAGCGGGTTTAGGGTATAGGGCTGAGGGGCTTTCAATAGGGATTTCCGATGGTTCAGTGTCAGAGACCAGTCGCTCCATGGATTCGGAGACACATACAGACAGATCGACCGACAAACAAACAAACAGACACTCACACACCCTCACAGTCGCACATTCACAGACACACAAACACAGAGACCTTCCCCCGACAGGCTGCGCAATTGGACCAACTATTTTGCATCAGCTCACGTGCGAAATCACAGCTTTGTCCAGGTTTTTGGGAGGGATTCGGGTTTTTAGGCTGCATGAGGCTCAGCGGGCCTGAGCTTGGACCTCAAAGACAGCAAGCTGCCGAAGGCTCCGAAGACGTGCTGGGTGCTGTTGCCGTCTTGGAGGGATGACTTGCCTCGCGCTCGGGAGGATGGCATGAGAAGAAACCGGAAGCAAGGTTACAACCCACAAATCCTGAAAGCAACCCAACAAACCCCCAAGAACCTGACTTCCGTGACCACTTCAGTGCTTGGAAAGGCAAGCGAATGTACCAGAATCCTTACCGGAGCAGCCCACCAAAAGCAACCGTGGTCTTTAGGAGGTAGCTCTTCAAACACTGGATGCGAGATGCCATCGGCCGCGAACTTCTCCAGGGCGTCGTTTGCGACCAGGGCCGAAGCGTGGCTGAAGGAGGCGCCGTCGACATAGCCCTTTAGCCTTTACAGCGGTTCATCCAGCCCCTGTTGTCCGGTATCCGGCTTTCAAACTTTTGGGGGCTCACACACCTGTTTCGTGGTACAACAGGCAGAGATAACGGGCAGAGATATGGCATATGGGGGCCCCCTGAGGAACTCAGAAGGACCAGCAAGAACACCTCGCAGTCCAAGGCGCTCAGACTTGATCTTCTGGGTCTCCTGCTTGATCGCCAAGAACAGCTCCTTCTTGTCGCCGCCTGAGCACGAGGCCAGAATCTCAGGCATCCCCTCGTCTGGTTATGAACCCCTGACACAAGGGTAGTTCAGGTTTTAGGGTTTAGGGTTTAGGGTTTAGGGTGTGGGGTTTAGGGTTTAGGGTTTAGGGTTTAGGGTTTAGGGTTTAGGGTTTAGGGTTTAGGGTTTAGGGTTTAGGGTTTAGGGTTTAGGGTTTAGGGTTTAGGGTTTAGGGTTTAGGGTAGCCCATGGTAGCGCTTGAGTAGACAGCGCTCTGAACACTTCTGCGGGGGGGGAGGGGGGGGGGCCTTCGATTAACTCCTTCATCCCTTCGAACTCTTCCTTGATCGCCGTCATCTCCTTTTGGCTCTCCTCGGAAAGGGAAGGGTTTAGGGTTTTCACAAGGGTTGAGGGTTTAGGGTGTAGGATTAAGGATTTAGGGTTCCGGGTTTAGGGTTTAGGGTTTAGGGTTTAGGGGGGAAGGGGGGGAAGGAAGGAAGGCGCTGCGCGCTGAAGAAGGCAGCCCGGCTGATAACATCAACCCGCCACGATTGACCGAGGTGTGAAAAACATAAGGTTAGTTTCCCAAATTACTCTCGGGTCCCATCCATCGCATCTGGGCACGATGCGCAATACACTGGGATCGCGCCCTGTATATGGTATGAAGCACCCCCAAAGGGAGAATAATTTAGGGAACTACCCATTGGGATGTTCGCCCTTATGCTAACAGGGGGGCTCCATAATCCCTATTCAGGACTGTTAGTATTAGGGGGACATCCCAACCTATAAACCCTGAACTCTAAACTTTCAACCTCCCAAAATTAAAAGAAATACCCCCCCCTAGTTGCCTGGTGCCCCTTATGATGCGCATGTATGGGGTTTCCGAAACTAGGGGTACCCTTTTTGAGGGTCTTCTATTCTGTTTGGGGATACAAAGGGTGCCCCCAAATGTTGGGAAATGCACCCATATAGAGAGAGGTGCTATCTTTGGGGGCGCTTTTAGGTGCCCAGATGCGATGGACTGGACCAGCGACTGGTGGTCGATCTTCTCACCGAGCCAACCGGCATCCAGCTGTGCGGTCTTCACGATCCACTCCTTGGCTCTGCGTCACCTTTCGCCTCAAACCCCAACTAGCCGCAACACGCCCTTTCATCAACGAAATAACACGAACACCCGCTCTTAAGGTAGCCCAGTAACCACACAATAAGGGTCCACTTTTCTTGGGTGTTGGAGGCTTTAGAAGGAACCTTGAAAGCCAAGAAAAAGGTGTTCGGGATGTAGGGTCACAATAGACCACAAGCTTGAATTGAACCCCCCCAAACGCCATGATATGGCGAAACCCATATCTTGTGGAACGAGATACGCAGAAGATCGCAGAAATCTCCACCAAGGAGCTGAAAGTTTCTCCGTGTTCCCATTCGTGATGTCCTGAGCAGAGATAGCACCCTAAACCCTAAACCCTAAACCCTAAACCCTAAACCCTAAACCCTAAACCCTAAACCCTAAACCCTAAACCCACCCTAAACCCTAAATCCTACCCTAAACCCTAAACAGAGGCGGCCCCGGGTCTTGAGAAAGCACACACAGACAACGTGGGGAGCAGAAGTTTCATGTGGGCCTTTCGGCTCCGAAAGCTCGATGCCTGTGTGATGTAGGCCCCAAAAGCCCCAAACCCTATTATTTCAAACCCTGAAATTCCTTGCCTCAAGCTCATAAACATGTTTAGGACATCGGTATTTGAGGCTATTGCGCGTGGTCTCCTATCCCTACTGGACGGCACATACTGGGAGGGATGAAGCTAATGTGGCTGAAAGGCGGCACTTGCTTGGATCATATGGGGGTTTACGAATATAAGGGACCCCTCTACGCCCCCAAACAATGGGATCCCCTTGTAATAAGGGAGCTCAGTAACAAGGTACCCCCTAAGATCGTAAACCTCCATATGGTTACGGTTGTGGTGCCTCTCTGCTCCCCAACAAAAAATGGCTCAATCAGAATCATTCGACCCTTTTTTGCCCAAACGATCTCTCCCCGAGTTGTTTTTTTTTTTTGCGGACAGAAGACAAAAACGCCCCCCACCCCCCCCCCCCCCCCCCCCCCCCCCCTTTTCCCGCTGAGCGTCCGTGGCCTTTTTCAGGTTGAGCAGAATGGACCGGTCTCCTGAAGGAGAGGCGAGAGTTCAGGCTCTTTGGCGGGGCTTTTTTGGGATGCTTTCTCCCTGTTCTGCGTAGCTGCTAGAAGGGTCGTTCCATGGTCGAAATCCCCCTTATATACCCTATGAGACCCAAGCGCCTGTACTTCAGAAACCTTTAAAGCAGGTAAGGGAGATGGGTGTAGTTTTACTTCCCGGGGTTAAGACCGCAAGGGTTGCTAGGCCTCAACTCTCAGAGGGCGAGTTTTCTGGAGGGAGGGCAAAGGCAATCCGATGGTAGCACGCCACAACGCAAATGCTATGCTCAGGGACAGGTCCTTTTCAAACCAAAACCCTCTAGCCAGACCTCTGCATCAACGTGCTTACTTTCCCACGGCGCTGCCCCAGGATGCCTCGAATCACGGCATCCCGCACGCAATGGAGATCGCCTTCCGAGTGCTTAACAAAGCAGCTTGAGGCAGCAGCTATTACATCCAATTGCAGCTTGCTGAACCCCTTTTGCCTAGACCCAAAAACCCTCAACCCTGACAAAAAAAACGCAAGCAGTGAGCTGTTTGGGACAGGGACCTAGCAGTCCCCTCGGCAAGCCAGAACTTGTAGTGCACTCGTGCTGGCATGTCACGACACAAAAAGCCCAGGAACAAGGTACCAAACAATCAACTTCACGACAAACTGCGGCTGAGCACACAAGGTCAGCCGGTCAGCTCTCTAAGTTACGGTCCCCTCTTGGGTGCCGTAATATATTCTAAGGAGCTCAAGATGGACCATCTTTTGGAGAAGCGACCATATGTCACATGGTCATCTGAAAGGCAACTCACAGAGAGCTAACTCGCAAAGCTCGAGAGGGGGGGGGGGGGCCCTGCGTAAGTTGCGGCCAGGGTGGCAAAACATCCGGGCGAAGTTGGCTTGCTGTGGATTGCAGTCGTTCTTCAGCGCCTTGAGGGGGGCTTTTGGCAACACGAGGCTGGCAAAGCTCATTGTGCTCGGATCCCGGCCTTCGCGACCGTTTGCTTGATAAGGAGGAAGTTCAAATCCTGCCGGAACAAAAGAGCAGGCCAGGGAAAGCTGAGAGATGACCACTCAATACGGCCACGACATCTCCGCTCGTCGGTGCAAAGTCGGCCTTGTAGGTCGTGAGCGCCGCGTACTTCATTGCCACGATGCCCTTGCACTTCTCATCGATGGGATCACCTGACGGAGTTGAAGGATCCTCGACTTCCGCAAGCATAAACCCAAAAAAACCTCCCCCCCCCCCAAAAAAAAAATGAAACAACAAAAACTCTACAAAAAACCCTAAACCCTAATCTGTGAAGGACTTCTGAAAGGGGGAGCCCTAAGAGGCGCCTGTGCCGATCCCTGTCGGGGGCGCCAGAACGAGCTCCGGATTCATGGTGCACAGCCTCATGTCTGCTTCGGGGGTTTAGGGTTTAGGGTTTAGGTTTTTAGGGTTTAGGGTTTAGGGTTTAGGGGTTTAGGGTTTCGGGTTTAGGGTTTAGGGTTTAGGGTTTAGGGTTTAGGGTTTAGGGTTTAGGGTTTAGGGTTTAGGGTTTAGGGTTTAGGGTTTAGGGTTTAGTCGCTCACGCTCGCACAAGGCAGGCAAGGTCCATTGGTCTGTGTAGGGCAAATGATGAGCCCAAGCCAAGCAGTCATATGGGCCACAAGGAGGAAACACAGAGCAAGTAAAACCCATCCCCACCCCTTAAGGCCCAACCTTTAGGGTTTAGGGTTTAGGGGTTAGGGTTTAGGGTTTAGGGTTTAGGGTTTAGGGTTTAGGGTTTAGGGTTCAGGGTTCAGGGTTTAGGGTTTAGGGTTTAGGGCTTAGGGTTTAGGGTTTAGGGTTTAGGGTTTAGGGTTTAGGGTTTAGGGTTTAGGGTGTGACATGTGGCTTAGGGTTTTCAGGCTTTCCCCGCACAGAAAGTGACGCCGTGGACTTTCGGAGGCTGGCCGCATGCCCGCAGCGGCGACGTTGAGGGCGTTGCCCTTCACGAAGGTGTTGATCCAGGCTTCGGCCTCCCCCAACAGAAAATGTTTGCTACGGCTTGTGTTGATTAGGGCTGTTAAGGGTTTATATAGGGTGTTGGCGGGGTTGAATAGGGGTTTATAGGGTTTCGGATTCATGTGGTGTGGGGAAAGGTGTTGGCGCTTTGTGTCGATTTAAGTTTTTGTTGCTTTGGGTCTTAGGATTGTTTAAGGTCAGGGCGTCGGGTCTTTTGGGTTCTTAAACTTCAGGGTTCAGGGTCTCAGGGCTTTTGAAGTTCAGGGTTTAGGGTTTTGCGCCGATGCTCAACATCAGCGCTTGTGCATTTCTCGACAAGCCAGTTCGGGCCTTTTGTCGAAAGATCCACCCTAATATAGGTGCCTTAATGATTAGAGTAGGGTCTTGGGGGCTATTATAGTCCACTTCTGTAGGTACCATAAGGGAATACCATAGTAACAATTCCGACCCTTATATTACTTTTTTTTTTTGGGGGGGGGGGGGGTGCCAAGTCTCCGCCACTAAGGCTTCTGGCGAATCTGCGGCACTACAACCGCCATGCTCCAGGCCTTCGCCAACCTGGCCAGGTGGCACAGCGAGTGGAGGTCATAAAATGGTTTGTGTCTTCTTTGTAGGGGTTTACATAGGGCTTATTTGGGGGTTGATTAGGGGTTTAGAGGGTTTCGGATTCATGCAGGGTATTTTCTTCGTGTTCGGCTGGCTCTTGGGTGGTTGCAAGTACTAGGTTGGCCTTTCAAACCGCTGAACCATATTCGACTGCGAACCCAAAAGCAACCCAAAAACCTTCCAATGGCATGCCTCAAGGTTCGGACGATCGACAGACTTGAGATTAGAAGATAGGTGGCCTTCTGGACTCGGAGGTTCATTGGTACCTATTAACCAGTTTTTCACTGTCCTTCTCACCCACTTCTCAGCCCCTTGCATGCCCCAACATGGTTATAAGTACCGCTATCATCGGTAAACAAAAGAGGGCTCCCTAAACCCCCTAAATGAGAAGGCTTCTCCCTGGGACTCCTCGTTTCCCTCGATGAAACTTGAGTTGTTCACCCTAAACCCAAAACCCAAAACCCTAAACCCTCAACCCTCAACCCTCAACCCCGAACCTAAACCCTAAACCCTAAACCCTAAACGTTCGCCTGGATTCAGCTTTCGACTTCCGGCTGATGCAGCCTTCGGGGACAACGATTTAGGGTTTAGGGTTTAGGGATTAGGGATTAGGGTTTAGGGTCACTTCAGAGCCAAAGCTGGAAAGCATGGAAGCATTCTCAAGCCCTTCCCTGCCCAACAATAACTAACCGTTGCCAAAGCCCTAAACCCCAAAACCCCATGATCCCTAAACCCTAAACCCTAAACCCTAAACCCTAAACCCTAAACCCTAAACCCTAAACCCTTTCAACCCCACATTCTTGTACATACAGGAAGCCCCCCCCCCCCCCCCCCCAAGCCCGAAGCAACTCACGGAGCTGCGCCTGCCAACTCATCCTCAGTTCGCAGGGTCCGCCGCTTCATACTCTTATCTTATGCATTGTTAACTTGTTCCTGTTTTTAAACCTCTGTATCATTGATTTTTATTTAGTATTTGTTTTGTTTGGGGGGGTGTGGCCTTTGTGTAAGGGTTTGGGGTTTAGGCTTAGGGTTTGGGGTTTAATTAGGGCGTTTCAAAACTCTATGTCATTTTGAAGGGGTGGCCTTTTTGTTAAGGGCCTTGGCTAGGCTGGCAGTTCTACTGCTATTATTCGCTTTTTTGGGCACCTACAACTCCGGAGTAGCACTGCCACCGTCTCCTGGCAATTCGATGAAGCCACGGGGTCTCGTTTGCAGTCTCCGTGGGGGCTTAGAAAGGGATCTTGGCGAATTGCGGGATCACTAGTTCATGGTTGGGATAGTACTAGAAATCTAAATTTCTATTCCTTATTGAGTTTACAGTTTAAGTACCCTTGAAAATGTCAGGTCTTCCTGCCCCAAGCCCAAAAACCCAACAGCTTTTCCTTTGGGCGTTTGCTGTCTTGCCGGAGTCACATCGCTGAGCTCAGCCAAAGGGCATAGGGCAACGGTGACTTCAGTTTCTCTTTGTCCGTGCCTTAGCAAAGCTGGACGCCCCAGTCCGCAGGGAGATCCCAGAAATGAGACGATTTTCCGAAAGAAAGGAACAGAGTCCTGTGGCATTCGGGGCATCACTTCCCGTCTCTTTGGGGTTTTGAGGCTGAAAGGGTCAGAGGATGAAGACAAAGCCCGTTCTTGCACTCCAAAAGATTGTTGATATGACAGGCTGCTGCGAATGCCTCCGTAGGACTGCGCGAGATCGCACGGGTGCATGTCCTGCTTGGCGGCTTTCGGCGCTTTACGGGCAGTCAGGGCCGTGGGAAGCTTCAGCGAACAGTGACCCCTCTAGGCTTGCAGTTGCAAGCGCCGGGACGAAGAAGAGCTCCGTTTAAATGCGCTACGAAGACCTCGAACTTCCCAAGTGGCAACCTTCACAAGACCTCATTCCAGACCCTAAACCTTGCGCCCTAAACCCTAAACCCTCCACCCTAAACCCTAAACCCTCCACTCTCCACCCTAAACCCTCCACTCTCCACCCTAAGCCCTAAACCCTCCACTCTCCACCCCAAACGCCAACTCCTCCCCCTCCGCCCACCGTCAAAACAAAGACAAAAAAAAAACAAACGACCCCTATTAGAGACTCCCCAAACAGGGTTCCCTTCTGATAAGGACCCCAGTAAGGTACCCCTAAAAGCCGGACACCATGCCGACATGACGTCATGCCGCTTCTCCTGGCCTGAGCCCCGGCTGCTGCCTCGTCTTCGGTCTCCAGCCTCGAAGGGTTCCGGTTTTTGTGGAAGAAAACAGGGGGCCTACAGGGTTTTCAGGGTTTCGCCACCCGCACTGCACGCACATCCAGCGCCCGTTTGGGGTTGAGGGTTTAGGGATTATGAGTGGAAAAAGAAAGGGCCTCTGGGATTTTTAGGGTTTGGGGGTTTAGGCTTAGGGGCTTAGGGTGTTTTAGGGGTTTATAAATATATAGGGGGCCTTAATAATTAGAATAGGGCTTTTGAAGGAGCAATTGTAGAAAAATTATAAAGGGGCCATACGGGAATGCTATTGGGGTTTAAAGGTGTTTTGGGGGGGGTTTAGGGTAGAGAGGTTTGGGATGACATCAATATTGGGTGCCAAAAAGGCCCATGTCACCTGACCAGGCATGAGTAGGGACAACAAGCGCCTGAATCTTTAAGGCGAAGCGCTCGCACCTTCTCTTTCGCTCTACCTGCTTCAGATTCAACATCGGTGGCATTGAAGGGTCCCTTCCTTCGACGTACGTGACGAACCGACGTCCATGCGACACAACAGAGTGGTCCACAGAAGTATCAAATTGCGACCGTACGTTTCCCGTTCGATCGTACCGACAGTCGAAAGCAAGAAAGTTCGAGAAGCAGAAGGGAGAAAATCTCAGGCCGGGAAAGGTGCGTTAAAAGTCCCGAGCTCAGCCAAAATCACAAGAAGTGCGCCCGGAAATCACATGCCAGCACAACACTGCGCTCCTAGCGTTCCCGCTACGCACACGAGTGTGTTTTCCGGTACTTGTTCTTTATAAGTGGGCAAGAACCCCTAAACCCTAACCCCTAAGCTAAATCCGCGTGCGACCCACTTCGGGTCATTTGGAGAGCCGTGCGGCTCGTTGGCATTGGGCTGAGGGATTCCCGCTTCGTCGACCGTTGTCTCCTTGCAAGAAACCCCGAAAAACTCGTCGAAACTGCTCAGCCGCCCTATACGGCTCCATGCGCAGGGGACCTTCTCTGGATGCAAAGTATGCAAGTTCGGCGACAGGGCTTCACATCAGCTTCGGCCTACGAAAAAAACAACTCGGGGCTGTCCAGGGTTACAGGGCCCCCAAGAATGCAGGACAAGCCCTGGCTCTGCCCGTCTCCTGCACCTTCTTCCACAAGTCCCCGTAGCCGACCTCAAGTTGTTAAAAAGCGTCTGATTCATGCAGGCTGATCAGGGAAGGGAACCTCATCGTGTCACCTTTTCCCGCCGTCCCCCGTGCATTGGGGCTTTAGGTGAAGCACACCCACTCCTCTGCTCCAAGTTGGTCGCCAGGCAGCACACTTGTCCGAGTATTTCGGCATTTCTGGCCTGAGCGTGGCCAGCAGTTCGGATCTTCCGGCGAGACTCTTTTCTGGTGTCTTGTGCTGCTTTGTAAGTTGTAACTACTGCTGTACCATACCCCGTGCGAGAATCGAAGAATAAGCAGTGTGGTGATTGCTTGATTCTGACGTGGCTTTGGGGGCAACCATAAAACCCTAAACCCTAAACCCTAAACCCTAAACCCTAAACCCAACCACGCTCTGTCAAGCGGCTCGAATTTTACCATTTCTGGCTTCTTCGGAGCCTGGCCATGCCATGCGGCACTTCGACAAGTGGTCGGCAAGCTTGCAAGACACGTGCAAAGACACATATATATATATATATACATATATGAAAATGTATGTATGTACAGACATATATATCTACATATATATATATACATATATATATATATATGTATATATGTATATATGTATATATGTATATATGTATATATGTATATATGCATATGAACGTGTATATATGTGTATATATACAGAAATGTATATGCAAAGACACGAAGAGCTCCCGGCCGGCGGGCGCTTTGGTGGAGGCGGCGGCTTCACCTCCGTGGAGTCACCCGAACACGACCGTGTTTGAAACTAACGTAATATTGAGGGAGGGTTTAGGGTTAGGGTTTAGGGTTTAGGGTTGAGGGTGTAGGGTGTAGGGGTTGAGGAGGTTACTAGAGTATATTTAGCAAGGGACCATAAGGGAATACTATTAGTGATTATTCCGACCCCTATTGGTAGACAAATGCGTGTGACCAAGGACAAATTGGGGTTTACGAAACTAAGGGACGCCCAATTCAGTAGTAGGATTCCCTTATAATAAGGACCCCCCATAAGGTACCCCTAATCTCGGAAACCCCCCAAATGAGTGGACAACGCCTGGCACGGCCTTGACAGTGGACCGGTTCTGTTTTGCTGAACACACTTCAGGGGGTTGAGAGGTGCCCAAGTGCAAGATGCAAGGTGTGTTCCGAGACAAGGAAGGCACTGCCAGTGCTCGTTTTTCATGTGTTAGCGTCTTTCTTGCATGGAACGTCTGATCTTCCTCTCGACTGACCTGCCAGGCACGAGGGCTGCGCGCCAACGCTGAACACTCCTGGAAGCCAGTGACGCCAGGCTCTCAGAAACTGCGTAGAGAGACAGGCCAGAGTGCGAGATTTTGGCTGGCTTTTCCATGCTGGAAGTGTACCTTCCTTTCCTGCCCCTTGTCGGCAGCTTCACCTCTTCGTGTAGCTCTCCCAGCGTTTTCTTGACATGTGCTGTTGGCCGAGAGAGCCTGTGGTACTGTATGTCATGCTGCCGCACCCGCATCGTACTTTTCGTCGTGGGCTGGTGCAAAGCCCGCCGCCATGCCAAAACAAATAAACTCCCCGTCATGGCCTATACTCCGGCCAAAGAGAGTAGCCTAAACCCCTGGACCCTATAAACCCCTCGCCCCTAAACCCCCAAACTCCTAAACCCTAAACTAAACACTGTTGCATCCAGGCCTCGTAACACTAAACGCTCAAAGCTTCAAATGCATCAAGCAGCGGTTACTCAGGTTACTCTGCAGTTTGTCACACTCTGGTGCACTCATGAACGTCATGGAAGCCCATAAACTTGGTAGAGAGCTCCCAGAATCGAGGACAGAAGAGGACCACAAAGACGAAACCTGTACAGATACGCAGAATCCTAAACCCCAAAATGTGCGGAGATCTCAACACGAAACGAGCGGCTTTCGAGTGCCAAAGTAGGCGCTGCCAGAGTGCAGGAAAGGTCAAAAAAGGAAGCGCAACATTCACGAACCCGGCTTCAAAAAAGGGTTTAGTAGGGTTTAGGGGTTAGGGTTGCTTTCACAAAAGGGGCTCCCTGAACCCCACAACACCGACACATGCCATAGAAACCCCTACGGAAGCCCTTCCTGAGATTCTGCCTCAAGCCAACAAGCATGTAGCTCTAAACCCCGGACCCCTATAAACCCTACAGCCCTTATTTCACGCTCCCAAACAAAAGAAGGCAACCCTAAACCCCAAACCCCAAACCCTAAACCCTAAACCCTTTTTTGAACCCAGACTCTGAAGGTCAGCTGGCACGATGACAGTTGCATCGACGTACTTCCCAGAACCGAAATGCGACATCCAAGAACATCACGCGATCTCGACCTAAAGACCTGCAAATCGACGAGCCCCCTAAACCCTAAACCCTAAACCCTAAACCCCAAACCCTTAACCCCAAACCCTAAACCCTAAACCCTAAACCCTAAACCCTAAACCCTAAACCCTAAACCCTAAACCCTAAACCCTAAACCCTACCCATCAAAGCTCGGGCCTCGGGAGCCGGCCCCGGAGCGAAGAGTGAGCCCGGACTTCCGATGCCTTTTGCCTGGGGTTTAGGGTTTGGGGTTTAGGGTTTGGGGTTTGGGGTTTAGGGTTTAGGATTTAGGATTTAGGGTTTAGGGTCCTAAAAGCATTAGGGTGAAGGGTTTAGGGGTGCGGGCCTCCCGAAGGGCTTCAGCGCTCTGGAGTCGTATTGCTTCTAGGGGTTTTAGGGGAAGCCGCGCCTGAGTTCACGATGAATTAGATGATGACGGCTGGCTATGTTGAAAGGCTGACTATGTTGCACAAGAATGGAACCCTGACAGTCAAGTCAAGCATGCATGTGCATTCTGAAATTGGCTTTTTATGTTGGGAATTGGATGCAACTTTCGGGACTGAGGATAGCTTAGTGAGCCAGCGTAGAGATTAAGAAGAAGAGACGGTCGGTTTGAAGGGGAGCACCGTGCTCCTTGAAGGGACCTATAGCAGTGAGAATGACCCCCATGCGGCCGACACGAACCTTTGAGGGAACAAAGCCCAGGCTGTTTCAGCATAGCAAGACATTGGTCCAGGGATATGGGTTGACTAGAACGCCTGTCTGAGTTTCTTCCCTGTGCCCAACTGAATGTGACTGAGTTGGCAGATTGACAATGACCACCAAGTACACAAATGCTTCCGAAAAAAAACCCTCCTCCGTGGACTCTTGGCAGCACAAGACCAACAACAAGTGAAGTTCGTTTGCCTCGAACTTGCCGTCGAAATCGCTGACCGCCGTGATGTCGAAACCTCCTAGCTTCATACCTCGGAGAGGCCCCCAACATGTGACTCGAAAAAATAAGGAAAAAAACAATCTGCAGCTGAGTGTGGGTTGAGGAGCACAAGGAGTACGTTGTCGTCAATATATCCATGTTGCTTTGCTTTGCAAAAAGAATCTCAAAGTCCCTGAAGCCATATAAAGGCTTGAAAGCCCTAAGCCCAACATCTTCGGTGCCAAAAGTCCAGCAGGCTCCACGCTATCACCCTCCTCGGAGCAGTCGCCTCCGCAACTGAAGATACAGACGTGATGCTGCGATTCACAGCTAGGTTCCGAGTGTGGAACGAGGAAGCTGCTGTCATCTTGATGCGGCGAAGCTGTTTTCATGCACCTGCCTCCGATGCACCACTTGCCCGTATCTTCGCTGAAGACCAGCCTATGGCAGGCTTTGCAGCTCAATGGCGCGTTCAGGTTGTGGCTTCTTTCCGCACATTGGTCATGTGGGCGGTTTCTGCTGACATGGCTTGGCACAAGCATCAAATGACTCGCCCTATAGTTGAGGATTCCACAACACGCATATGTCAACAAGCTTTCGCGGCGTCTAGATAGGCGCGCAGACAGGCACCAACAGCACGGATGCCTGGGCTGCCCATTCTTTCTAATCCGAGATCCTATAGATTTTAAAAGGGATCCTCAACCTGACAAGTCCTGCAGCAAGACGAATCGCGCAAGACCTTTTGCTAGCACCTGTGGGATTCCCTTGAACTGCAAGACCGGATACTCTTCACAACTTGTAGGAAATAAAGTGTAAACTTAAACATTCAAAGCTCTGATTACGAGCCTGGGAACCTCTGTAAACCTCATTAGACCCATCCCGTCTCGCAGCCGAAGCCACCTGGCAGGCGTCTTGGTGTGCCATCTACCCCATGCCTCCACAAGGGGGTAGGATGGTGTGGGTTTTGATTACGCAAGTTGCAGGGTGTGCAAGCTGCCAAGCCTTTAGTCCTGGTATTCTGGCGATGAAAACCTCTAGATCAGGATCCCAAACCCTTTGAATTGAATCGCCCTTCAGCGAAGACGAAGACCCGGGGAGTAAAGTCACAAGCTGCGACACAAAGCCACGGCAAAGCCTGAGCCAGAAAGCTCTCAAGCTGATTCCCTGGCTTTGCCTGCTGGAGGTAGTCCATTCGCCCCGAGGGGCCTGCTTTCTCAGGGCAGTAGGTGCCCTCGAGACCTGCAACAAAGATCGAAAGGCATCCCCAAACTTCTTTGGGGTCCCAGAGGCCCTTAAGGGTTTAGGGTAGGGATCAGAGGCCCCCATCGCAGCCTTCCTCCAACCTATGACGCCACTAAAACCCCGAAACCCTGCACCAAAACATCCCTAAACGCTAAATCCTAAACCCTAAGGAACAATCCATGATCCGACCAAAGCCCCGAATCCGGAAAGTCCTCCCTGAGGCGCGGGCTGTTGACGGTCGAATGGTCCGGGCCATTCGACAAGGTCACTACTGGAGCGCCTGGGGCAAGGGAGTTCAAACTGTGGAGAGAGCTTTGAGGGTTCAGGGTTTAGGGTCTTGGGTTTAGGAGTTGAAAGACTCAAAACTCTGATGCCTGAGCTAAGGGAACAAGGCAACAAGAGGGAGAACCACAAAGGGTTGGGGATCAACACAGCCCTCGACCCTACGTACAACCCGCTCTCAGAGCGGCCCTTTTTCATCTTGAGCCAAAGGTCAGAAGGTAAGCCATCCTGATCTGCATAACATGACTATACATACATCACTTTACAGGAAGGAAGCTCGTGATTCTTCAACTCCCCCCTTCATGTTTGCAGATTCTCAAGTCCTAGAGCTCATTTGAAGCTCGATTCTGGACTTCAGGAAGCAACAGCTACGAGCTCAACTCTGCAGCCAAACCTACTGTCGATTGAAGTACAGGCTTAGCCATGTACAAATTGAATCCGGTATCTCAGGTGATCAGGCTGAAACGTAGACTCAATAAACCTTTAAGGTAATTCTACCTGCGATCTATACAAAACTACTCTCAACCGGTGCAGGACTGTGCTCAGGCGGAGTCAGAGCGGCGCTTGGGAGCAGCCGTACACTGACACAACGCAGTGCAAGGCTGAGGGCAGGCAAGGAGTGCAGAACGAGATCCTCAAGAACTCATTCAGATGACACAGGGATGATGGCTCATATCCAAGTGTCTGCAAAAGCACGATGATGGATACTGTACAAGACTACTCCCAATCAGAAGCACAGCTGTGCTCATGCAGAGTCAGAGTGGCGCTAGGCAGCAGCCAAACACCGACATCACACAGTGCGAGATTGAGGATAGGCAGTGGTTTAGGAACGAGTTCTTCAAGAGCTCATTCGGATGACACAAGGATGAAGAGAGCGGCCGCTGGGCATCCGAGTGTCTGCAAGTTGCACAGTGATGGAAGTATCGCTCAGCTGAACAACCATCGCAACATTATCACCAGAGGCAATTGTAACAAAGCTTTAGGTGACGGCGAACACACTTAGCTGGGAACATCTGGCAGATGTTTAGTAGAAATGCGCAGCAACTTTAGTGCATGAGCCCATTTCCGGATTGAAAGGGCCTTCGTCAAAGAATTACCTTTCTCAGCTTAGCTGAATATCCTTTCGGATAATGGCGACACAAGCTTCATTATTTGCATGACACAAAAGCTTGATGCCAAGAATCACGGTTTGCCAAACTTCAAGTAAAGGCAACGCGTCATTGAACAGGGCACTGCTCGAACACAACATACTCTCTTCCGGGAGCGTTGGAGTCGCTGAGTGACTTGAACACATGAATGTGATCAGCTGCGATGGCTTCTCCAAATTCCGAGGCTTCAAGCAACGCGGGCTCAGAGTCCTCATCACGAGGCTTGCGACACACTCTTCTGGACAAGAGCTTGGATTGATTGCACACATCACAGACCGGGTTCTTTGGGAAGTGGAAGAAGCGATGCTTCACACTTACAGCTTCATCTCTCAGTTTGCGAACTCGATCACTGACATGTGCATCATCCACAACGGGGAATCCAGGTGGACTCAAATCTAGAGGCTTGTCCCCTTCAGGAAGCGCAGACGCAGCAGGACCATCAGGGCTTGCTTCGATAAGATGTTCTTTGGGTAACCCCCCTGACGAAGAGGAAGGTATCTCGGACGAATCAACTTCTGCGGGAATGACATCAACCAGCGGAAGATTGTCCAGTAGAAACCCAACTCCTATGAGAGCATCCAAAACATCATGCTCGAGAGAAGCAGGATCTTTTGCCGCACACAAGACCATCACAAGTCGATCACCAGTCCAAGGCTTCGTGGCACGAAGTCGATCTTTGGCGGAAAACCGGATGACCCCTTTCTTGGACTTCAGTAGACCGACCACACCACCTCGACAGAAGCAACCTACTGCAAAGGACGAGTCATCGCTCGGCTCAATCCCTCGGGATGCGGAACCACGTTTCATAAGTCCAAAGATCTTACGAACTTGATTGGGCTGAATATCACCACGCTTTGTTAGGAGGTCTTTGGCATACTCTTCAGCTGGATCATGGGCAACGGGACGCGAAGGCTCTTGGCATTCCTCACCCGACTCGTCAAGAAAATCAGCTGATGCAGCAAGACCATGGACAAACTGACATTTGCTGGTGAAGATCGGCACACGCTCATCTGTGCGCTTGGCATAAAGCTTGGCTTCTTCGGCGCAGTCGACCCGAAGCTTAGACAAGTCATGCGCGAAGAATGGAAGGGAACCAGGTAACCATATGAAGGCCTTCCCAGATTCAACATCCAAGCCAGTGCTTCGAACAACTGGGCAGTTGTCCAACATGTAGTGAATGGCGAGAGGCATATTGTCGGACGCAAATCCCAAGCTCAGCGAACCGGGCTGAGGTCCACCGCCTGCGTGGAACGTAACAAGGCTCGCTGAGTGCGCAAGAAACGACCTGTATGACTCCGACGGAATTCCCCGGTCTGCCAACGCCCGTGCCGATCCAAGATGCCGACCAGCAGCTGTATCCGCAGCCCACCCAACGCTGAAGGCGTTGCTTCCAGGGATGTTGCACACGCTTGAGGCGGCAATCATTGCCACGACTGCCTTCGCAACGGCTCCTGTGGATTTGGGTTTGGGAGCGGCGGCCTTAGGCTTAGACTTAGGGTCAACCTTAGGGGTCTTATCAGGGTCATGACTGTACTTGCAGTCCTCTCCGTGCATGCAACCAGATGCCATCCTGAAGAAAATGCAAGGCGTCTTAGCCTTTTCTGCATCTGACATGCTTTTTGCTTTTGGCTTTGCTCTCGCCTCAGGCTCAGGGGTTGGTGCTGGGGTTGTAGACACTGGAGCCTCTGGCGGAGTCTTGGGCGCTGGAGGACTTCGCGGTGGCTCTTCGGTCTCAGCAGGTACCCCCCTGGCCTTTGCCTGCGGAGCTGCAATCTGCAGGGACTTGATTACCGACTGAGCATTGGTGTCTTCTCGTTCTTGAACGATGACGTCTTGTATCTTGTTCCATAGGTAACTCCACTCACGACGACGGGATTCTGGCGCAGATTCTCTGATGTCATCAATGACACGTTCTAGCTTCCTAATGTGCTTCACACGGTGGAAGAGCCATTCGCCAGTGAGGCGATCATCCGGCCTCTGTCCTATTGGGATTGAATACAGAACAGTCCGAACGCGCTGCACAAAATCCCGGAGATCTCGAATGGAGTTTCCTCCAATTTCGACCTGGAACAACGTTGAAGCAGTCAGCACAGTGCCTCGAACGCGGTCAATGCTGAAATGACGAGCAAGAAGAGCAAGCATGTATCGACCTTTCGGCTGGGACCCTGTCTGGCCACACAACTCAACGTAGGCGATAACTTCTTGCGCCAACTCAGTCACTTGCTTCAACACACGCATGGAAGTCATCTCTCCAGCAATCCAAGCATCAAGGCGAGGAAGAAGACCTGATTCAGTAAGCTCTTCTTTTTCAGCTGTGAAAGACCGAGACAACCATGCAACAACCAAACCTTCGCCTGACATGTCAAGCTTGGCAATCTGGACCAACAACGAGTTTTTCCAGGCTCGGAAACCAGCAGCGTCGGAAGGAACCGGCTCAAGCTTGAGATGTAACAAAGCTCGGCTGTCAACAATGTGCTTCTCTTGCCTTTCAGGCTCTTCGATCTCATGAACAGGAGATGCATCATTGCATCCTGGATCCGTGCCATTTCTTTGGGCAAGCAGTTGCTGTACGACATCAATCAACTGATCAACACGAGGATCGGTAACGGTCGCAGGAGGGACGGTCGCAGGAGGGCAAGGGGCTGACTCATTGACAACTTGCGGCAATGAAGGTGCACCACTACTATCCTCATTAGAACCGTTATGTACCCAACTAAACCCACCAGAGCATGCACTTGACGCAAGTACCGGCGGCTTATCTGGCTGGTGAGGAGCAGACGTTGGAGGCGAAGACCCAGGACTCGTGGCGCTTGCAGCAGCCTGGCGAAGTCTCTGAATCTCGCGGTCTTTGACTTGCAACTCGACACGTAGCTGGGTGTTTTGGGAGTTCAGCAAGTTGTTGTCACCCCGGCAGCTGGTTAGGGCGGCTTCAAGCTCTTGGTACCCTGCACGAGCGACCTGAAGTTCTGCTTCGGCCTTGCTTAGCTCGGCCTTAGCTACAGAGAGCTGTTCTTCCAAGATTCGACCCTGTTGAAGGATCTCATCATAGCGATGTTCGTACTGTTGCAACTGCTCACGCATTTGCTCAACGGTGGATTCAACCAAACCTCTAGCCTCATTCTCAACACGCTCTAGCCTTGTGGCATGCAACTGTTCAGCATGATCAGCAACATGTTGCGCTGCTTGCGCTGCGGCTAAACGCTGTGCATCCAAAACCTCTTGCGGAGAGGCTCCAACATTCAGGATGTTCTGTGTGTATGAGGCTTGAGCGGTTAGATTAGGGTAAGGGCTTGAGTGCTCATGAGTTTTGCGAGGTCTAGACAAGGCTTGTCTAGTCAGAGGAGGGGACCTTTCACGGACCTCAACTGCTGAACTACTAGCAACCGAACCACTATCCGAACCAACACCACCTGGCAATGCCGTGGCTGAAGCACTTGACAAATCAAGCACCGAGCTGGCTTGATTGCTAGGGTCAGAAGGAGAAGACATTGCTGTGGGAGGTGGAAGCGGTTAGCAGCAGCTCACCGCACCCTTTCTTTTGGCGGAAGAGGCGAGGCTCACGGCGTTCACTGGTGCAACAGTGGAAGGATGTGGCGAAAATTCGCCGAACTATCCTTCAAGGACAGGCACTCCGTTCACTCCTCGGAATTCGGAACAGAGTTGATACACCAGTTGCAAAGCGACTCTTCTGCTTCAATCAGACCAGAAAAACTGGGCACCGTAGATCGAGGATAAACTCGCGTTCCGCGCTTAGCCAAAGAAATGTGGAACGGAGTGATGAATGATGCTCCGGCACACTCGTCCACAACTTCTGCACTGTCGTCAACAATGGCAATGGGACAACGAGCAATATCAAAGACCTTCTCCAGCAGCGCCCGCTTTCCTGATTCACCCGTGGGCTTGCGGGTGATAAAAAGTAGCGAGAGGACTGAAACTCCTGCTTCACGGATGAGCCGATCAGTGCTGTTGCAACTCGTGCCGAGAACTTGAGCTACTGTGTCAGAATGACGGCAATAAGAAAGCACCACCACCAATATCTGCCTGCTCTCCGTAATCTGACTCAACCTCTGCAAAAAGCGAATGTTGCGGTCCGGATACTCTGGGCAATCGTCGCGCCAATTTGTGCTCTGACGAATATCACGGTCAAGGACTCCGTGAAAATCAAAAGCAAGGACTGCACGCGCCTGAGCCACCTCGCAGGAGCGCTTGCACCTTCACTCGAGACTGGAGCCGCTCCGGATGCCTCGGGGCTCAAAAGCACCTTCTTGCTCACTGTCCATCCATTCTCAGGCAGCTACACTTAGGGTCTTAGCTATGAAAGCAATACGGACCTGATAACCAGTTGAAAGACTCAAAACTCTGATGCCTGAGCTAAGGGAACAAGGCAACAAGAGGGAGAACCACAAAGGGTTGGGGATCAACACAGCCCTCGACCCTACGTACAACCCGCTCTCAGAGCGGCCCTTTTTCATCTTGAGCCAAAGGTCAGAAGGTAAGCCATCCTGATCTGCATAACATGACTATACATACATCACTTTACAGGAAGGAAGCTCGTGATTCTTCAACTTTAGGGTTGTTCACTGATAGACATGTAGTGAGAAGTGCGTTGAAGAAACTCTGTGTCTGTGTGCGTGTGCGTGCGCGTGTGCGTGTGCCTGGGGGTGGGGGGGGGGGGATTTACAAGCAAGCATCACCATCCTGAAGCCTAGCCCACGAAGTGAAGAAACACTGAGACTCCTTGAATCACTCAACGCTGTTGCTGGCACGTGACTCACACCAGTCTGGGTGGAGTTGCAAAAGAAATCGTTGACTAGAAGTACTTTAGTTAAACAAGGGAGCCTGCATACTATCTAGTACCTCATTGAAAGTGTCGGTACAGTAACTAAAGAACCTTCCCGGCCTCTCAGTCAGTGCACTTTGTTCCGGGTGACTCGGCTTCACTACTGACTAAGTGTTGACTTGTCTAGCATCTGAATCAGATGCATCTAGCCTCTTTCAGAGGCGGCCATTGCACCACAACTATAGAGATCAGGGCACTAATGCAGCACTGAACGCTAAGCAATGCGGGCAATAGTTCTGTGCGTGATTAGAGCGAAAGAGCTCATGCCGACAGGCCCACAGCGCCCAGTGTTTAAAAAAAATGCAGCAGCCAACCACAAGTGAAGAGTCAAAAGCTTCAGCATCAACAAAATTAGCATCCGTTTGTCAGATAAAGAAGAAGGGAGAGCTTGCACGCCTCCTTCCCGGCAGCAGGTGTACTTGAACCGGGCCCAAAGGCCTCCCTTGGAGTACCTGCAAGGATGTCCCCCAGCAGTTTAAGGGCTCAGAGCTCAGGGCTTTAGGGATTTTAGGCGCTGCTGAGCTCGCTTTCAGTCGCGAGACGAGCTGAAGTAACACGTATTCCCCTCATGACCACGAAAACCGTGGAACACCGGAAGAAGGCTTCAGATGCTTCCCATGGCGAGGGGCTCGAAGTGCAGGGAGGTCAGGAGGTCAAAGCCAGGACAGGCGATGTTCAGGCGGCTGAGCGTCCTCTTGGACCTCGCCTCGCATGCAGAAGAGGCAGAAGCAAGAGCTGGTTTAAGGCTAAGGTTTTGGGATGTTCCCCCTTATGCTCATCTTTCCTTACTAGATGGTAGTGCCCCCCTACTAGAATCCCTAGTAAGGACCCTTCTAAAAACATCGGGAGCTGAGCCATCCCAGCCATCTCCAAACCGAGCAGCCGTATCCTCAAACTCGTGGGCATCCACTTGCTGTGTCCAGCTCGGATAGCATGCGCCTCGGGATGCAAAGAGGGCGGCTCTTTGAAGCTTTCTTGGAGGATACGAATCCTCAGGACATTAAACATGCTACGATAGGAATTCTACGAACACATAAAGACAAACAATTAACAACCATATAAATAGAATACATACATTTATACACACATGTTTCCTCTATACGTAGATGGATAGATATAGATAGATAGATAGATAGATAGCTTGGTTGGATACACTCGCACTTGCGCTCTCGCTGCTTCTCACCTTGCAGCAAAGGTTCCCAGACCCGAGGAAGTAGCACAGGTGTACTTCACGTGCAGCCTGTTCGAAACCTGACAACTTGCAACGAGAGCAACGAAGGCAAGGCGCTTTCAGGTGCTTCAAACCGAAAAAGCGCGCCCTAAACCCTGAACCCTGAACCCTGAACCCTGAACCCTAAACCCTAAACCCTAAACCCTAAACCCTGTAGTGCGGGCGGAAGCAACATTCAGGAGATCCACGGTTTGAAGCACTTTGCCTGGCGCGCAGCCCATCTCCTCAGAAGGGGGACACAACTTCACACAGCCCTCGATCTCAAAGTGTTCGACCCATGCCCCTCAGGTGTTCTGCCGCGGCCCGGTCGTACCATCTTCCGCATAAGTCCGTAAACTCAAGAAAGGAAGGCTCTAGGGCGAACAGAACTTCAGGGGGTTGAGGGTGCTTCAGCCACGTACCAAACCAAAGCCTTTGGCCCCCAAACATCCAAGTCTTGGTAGTCCAAGGCGCCCAAGTTTCGATGTCTTCCCACCAGTTCGGCCAAGCGTCCTCAGAGGTCTCCTCAGGAAGCGAGGCTGGAACACAAGGGGCTTGGGGCTACCCGTAAGGGTCTTGATTTAAGTGTAAGTTTCGACGCATCTTTTTGCATAAGGTTTCCTGTGCGCTTTCCAAAAAGAGCACGCAGCGGAAGAGCACGCACGGTGGATCAGGAACATAAGGAGGAGAGCAGGATGAGTAAAGTTCAAGGCTTCCTCATCTGTTTCGAATTGGTCACTCCTCCCAGCTTTTCGGCCGCAGCTTCCCTGCTTCCCACAATCAGAATTCCACTCTGAATGCCCAGCTTTAGGAGTTGTAGTCCACCCCAAAACGGACAGCTTTAAAGTTGAAATAAGGCCTTTGCCGCCAAGGAGCTCCCTTGAAAGTGCGGTTGGTCGTGACTTCCACGGGGAGCTCCTTCCACAATGGCGCTCCACCGATAGGGCCCATAGGGGGGCTCAGCATGTGCAATCAGCCGTATCTTCCTGTGTGGCACTTATAAGCTGAGTATAGCGACCTGTCTTCATCACCCTGACAACAGCAAGCTGGCGGGACAGCAAAACCAAAACGCTTGGACGGGGCTGGGGAGCACCACCAGCTCCCTGAAAACATGGTTCTCGGCCTCTAGCTGCCACAGAAACCAGTATCGATCATGGGTGTGGGTGCGGCATGCCGCTGCTCAGGGTGACGAGCCTACAGCCAGTTCGTAGGCTGTGCATCTTATCAGTCATTCAGGACAAGGGCGCGCGAAAAACGACTGGCGGCAGCGCAGAAATTTACAGGGGCGACCCAACGCAATGTGAGAACAACTTCCCGGCCGTGGGGCCGAAGCTGCAGCGGCTTCTGGTGTGAAGTAGCTCATAGCCGATCCAAATTGATTTCTACACAGCGAGTGCAGAACAATCTTTGGTCAGACCTCCCGCCCATCAATGTATGGGAGGGAGGGGTTGATCTGAAGCCCCCTTAGTGGGAGACTCCTTCGGCTCCTTGTTCATTTGGCATTGTCACTGGGGCTCTGCGCAAGCTACCGTCTACGACTATTTGCTGGAGAAAACCCCCGCCCAAAGAACCTTAACAGAGAAGAGCCCCTACATCACCATTACAAGAAAGAGCATGATAATCATCCCTATTGTAACCCTTATAAGGAAGAACATGTATATTTGTTGGGGAGATAGTCGTTTACAGGAACAGTGCTGGCACTTAAAGGTTCTTAAAAGAAAAAACGGGCCAAAAGCAAGGACGCGCAGCTCCGTCGCTGAACTTCTCAGGCCGCGACCCCATGAACACCAGGGTGTTTAAGGTTTAGGGTTTGGGGTTTGGGGTTTAGGGTTTAGGGTTTAGGGTTTAGGGTTTAGGGTTTGGGGTTTAGGGTTTAGGTTTAGGGTTTAGGGTTTAGGGTGGGGAGGCTTGGTATGCCCACTGGCTTCCGGACTGCAATCTGGCAAAGTGTCCTTGGAGAGGAGTGGGGTGAAGCGGCAGTCCTGGCAGTTTCTAGGGGTTTCCGACATTACTTTATTGGGGTCTTTGTGAAAAGGAGTCCTACTATTGTCTCTATTAGGGGGTCCCCTTTTTCGTACAGAGGACCTGGGGGGGGGGGGGGCAAACCATCTCAACTCATGTGGGGAACTTCTGCAGTCAAATCTCCACACTTGCCCTTGACGAAGCCGGGTGCAATCCTGTAAGCTTTCCCTCCTCAACCCACTGCTTGAAGAATAGACGAGGACTGAATTACGAGGATGCCCCATTAAAGTCCAAGAATCCATCTGGATGCCCTTGGCCAGGTTCGGCAAATTGAACATGCCCGCGTTCCTGATGCCAAGAGCGATCTGCAAAGGTGCCAGCGACTGCTAGTGTTCCCTTCAGCTTCTCGAGTCACGTGAGGCATTCTGCTGGCATTGACATTGACATTGTCCTGCTACGCGTATCCAAGAACGATCCCCTGCCTGCAAAATACAAGACAAGCTCTTGAAAAAGGGCATGAAACTCCGACGTACCTTCCGCCGGGCGTTGCAGACAGCATACCCCGTCCCACGGAAGCATTCGTTTCGCCGTTTGTAAGAGACGAGATTTAAGCTGAACCTATACAACACACAAAAAGGCCCTGTAAAAAGCATGCCTATCCCCCAGAAGCCTAAACAGGGCTTAATCGCTCACACTCGGCCATAACCGAGTCAAGCGTCAGCGCCCCCAGAGCAGTGTTGCCAATGCATCCTTTGGCCACTGCAGAGGTTGGCACCCACATGGACCTGTCCTGGTCTGACATCGCATTCTTAACACACACACACACACACCCAAAACCCCTCAACACACATAAGAAAGCGCATAGATATGCAAAAGTACACATACACCAGACTTACGAATGCACACTTACAAGTTGTTAGTGGAGCTTCTTCAATTTTGGGCGTGCCCTTCAGTTGGGACCCTTGGCCGAAGCCTCGCAGTAAAGAGAGGCAGGCTCTCAAGGGTTTAGGGTTTAGGGTTTAGGGTTTAGGGTTTAGGGTTTAGGGTTTAGGGTTTCGGGTCTAGGGTTTAGGGTTTAGGGTTTAGGGTTTAGGGTTTAGGGTTTAGGGTTTAGGGTTTAGGGTTTAGGTTTTAGGGTTTCGCCACCCGCACTGCAGGGTTTAGGGTTTGGGGTTTGGGGTTTGGGGTTTCAAGGGTTTGGGTTTGGGTTTCGGGGCTATGGGGTTTGGGGTTTTGGGCGTTGCGGGTTCGAACGGAGATAGCCTTACCCTATACTCCCCCTTGCAGCCGTAGTGGCAGATGGTAGTTTCTAAGTCTTCTTCTTGAGCTTGCCAGAAGCAAATAAGCAAAGTTCCCAGAGATACTGCAGTGCCCTGGGCCTAAGGCCATAGTCAGCTGTGCAGGGTGACTGAGGCTAAGCTGAACCATAGCATTTCGAGTCCTCTAGGCAGAAGGCTTAAAAGTTATAAAGCTTCAGGCATGCAAACCGCAGATGCCAGACAAGCAGCCGCCATGTGGGCGTAAGCAGACCTCAGTGATGCACGCCATGCCGCGTCCTAGCTGACAAGTCAAGCTTTTAGCCGGGATGCGACAATCACAAACATGAGTGTCAGCATGAAGTCTGACGGACGATGTCTGCGCTTCGACCGGAACACCCCAAAACCCCTGCAACGGCCAAAGAAGAGACATGGGCTGCTGTGCAAGAACAACACCTCAATCTTCAGCCCTTTTAAAATCACCCTAAACCCTAAACCCTAAACCCTAAACCCTAAACCGGGCTTGCCGAGCGCAGCGGCCCCGGGATCACGACCCGCTTGTTCCCCGAGTCGGGGCCTTTCCATTCCAACTTCAGGGCGGCCTGGCGGTTCTTTCTGCACAATATAGGGGCCTTAATGCAGGATGTAGAGGGTTTAGGGTTTAGGGTTTAGGGTTTAGGGTTTAGGGTTTAGGGTTTAGGGTTTAGGGTTTAGGGTTCAGGGTTTAGAACATGGTTATTATAGTAGAATTGCTGCATAGTATAGGGGCCTTGATGGCGATTCTTTCAACCTCAGGCTGTGCCTTCCCTGCTAGTGGCCAAGACGGGGCTGCACAATCAACCCTCATATAGGGGCCGGAATAGTTAGAATAGGGTTTTGTTGGGGGTTTCTTATAGTATATTGATAAAGGGGCCAGAAGGAAATACTATTACAGTAGCTATTCCGACCCCCATTTGCAAATATGCCCGGCAGACGTCCCCAGTGTTCTCGTAGAAGTGCACCTGGCAAAGCATGAGTGTAGTCCCAGGAGGACGTCTCTTCACACTTGTAAGCTCGGAGTCATCATCCTTAAGCCCAGTTTTCTGAACCCATGAACTTAGAACCATGTGGGTCTGTTGTAGATGAAGGACATCTAGAGGGCACCCCTCATAGCATCGTGCGCAAGCCACATAGGGGATGCCGGTTTCCGGGAAAAATTAGGAGGGATACACTGCTCCCATAGTAAGGGTCCCCTTTCATGCTCCCCAGCCAGACCCGGGCCTCAAGCGGCCAGCTGCCCATGGTAAGCTCCTCAAAGAGTTTTGAAACTCATCAGCGCACATCTCGGTGGACAACAAACTCATTGCTCTCCGAAGACAGCTTAGGGCTTAAGCCATAGGGCCAGAGTTTTTAAACCCTTCGGCAATGTCTCCTGTGGCAGCTTTTTTGGGGGGGAACGTGTGTCCAACCTTCGCGTAGATCCGTAGATCCCCGACCGAGCCAAACAACTGGTCACACTCGCCTCCCGCCTTCTTGACGGAAACCGTTTTCGGCTTTGTGCGGCAGCTCGTGATCTTCATCAGCTGGCACAGGGATGGAGATTGAAACCTAAACCCTCAACCCTCAACCCTCAATTATAAGGGCCGAGACCTTAAACCCTATCAACCCTAAACCTCGCCTATTTGCGGAAATGCCCACACTGGGCGGCCCTGTCTTCCGTTGGCAGGGCGTGCAGCGCGTCTATGGAAGCTTCTGCCCAATAGCCATACTATACTGCTTCTGGCGGAGGTGCCCGAATTCCTAAACACCACGAAAGGACTCCCTGCAGAAAGTTGCGGAATGCGCACTCATTGAACCCATAAAAGGGAGGGGGGGGGCCGGATTCTTGGAGAAACTCCCCGAAAAAAATCCGAAGGCCTCCTTGTGCTGCAGGAAGACCCGCGCGACGTCGTTGGCGGTGAGGAAAATCTCATAGGTGCCTCTGCGCAAGCCCACGAGTGATGTTCGGAGAGAGGCTGGTTCCTAAGAAGGGAAATAGGGCATGAGTAGTACCCTAGATGCCCTGTATGTCAGACCTGGCATACCCAATTTCCCTCCAAAGAGCTCCTTAGCTAAGTGGGGGGCTGGTGTTTAGGGTTTAGGGTTTAGGGTTTAGGGTTTAGGGTTTAGGGTTTAGGGTTTAGGGTTTTTTGACACCCACATAGCTGCACGAACCATTCAGCTTTGCAGGGTCTATGGAGGGCGCAATTGTCCAATGGTGTGGGGCTACATGATCTTCAGAGCTTAGGGAGTATGCGGCTTGCGTATGCCTGCAAGGGGATCCTGAGTGGACCCTATACCCTGATGGGAAAAATGACGCCCTGGCAGACCCTGAGAGAAGCAAAGCGCATCTGGGTCAAACTCGAAATCCTGCATCCCTCAGACACAACCACTAAATACGTCTAAATACGTAAACCCTAAACCCTAAACCCTAAACCCTAAACCCTAAACCCTAAACCCTAAACCCTAGGGTTTATAAACCCGAAACCCTAAACCCTAAACCCTAAACCCTAAACCCCAAAACCCTAACCCTAAACCCTAACCCTAAACCCTAAACCCTAAACCCTAAACCCTAAACCCTAAACCCTAAACCCTAAACCCTAAACCCTAAACCCTAAACCCTAAACCCTACCTCTCCATACTTCATGATGGGGGATGGGGGACACTGTATTCCTCCACACAAAGCAACTTCGTGCATATCACGGCCTGGCTCATTGACCATGACCAAGCCCGTCATCCTGGCTGTGGGAGTTATAAGGCTTTAGGGTTTAGGGTTTAGGGTTTAGGGTTTAGGGTTTAGGGTTTAGGGTTTAGGGTTTAGGGTTTAGGGTTTAGGGTTTAGGGTTTAGGGTTTAGGGTTTAGGGTTTAGGGTTTAGGGGGCCCGAGGCCTGGGTCAAACCTAAAACCAAGGGAGTCATACTCGGACTCCTAAGGATGTACCCCTGAAGGTTTCCCCCCTGATATACTCCGAAGATAGGGCCCTTATATAGAACCCTTTATCGAGGATCTTTCAAAAGGGTCCCCAAATCCAAAGGGTACAAATTTAGGGGCCCGAGGTAGAGCCCCATGATAAAACACCTTGAGGGGGCCCCGTATTTGACTAAGCTGTGGCCTCCCACCGTGAAGTTTGAGTACTTCTATTTAAGGGGCTTAAGGAGGAACGGGAAGGGTGCCACTGAAACCCCCAAGCCCTCAAACCCGAAACCGGCCCGAAACCACGTCTGCATCCAGGCCCGTTTGAAGCCTTTAAACCGCCCTACACACCACCTCTTTACAAATTCCACCCTAAGCGCCACCTCTCGAAATTCCAAGCCCTAGAAGCACTAAAAGCCCCTTAAACCTTCGAAACGCCCTTGAACCCTGAACCCTAAAGCCCTAAACCCTGAACCCTAAACCCCAAATCCCCCCCCCTAAACACCCAAAGGGGAAGCCGGGCCCCCCGGCTTGGCAGCGAACTTGTTGTTGTGCTTTAGCCCGGGCCACTGTTGGCTGTTGGCCCAATCCAGCCTCACTTCGAAGACCCTAAACCAAGGGACTGAAGGAGGGACCCTTAGGGGGTTCTTTCGGGGGGTGCTTACAAGATTAAGGGTTTTTGTTCTAGGGGTCAATCCTTGTACCCCTCAACTAAACCTTTGCCTTAGGCCCTTAACCCACACCAAGAGAACCAAAAACCCGCAGGAATTGCCATCTCGTGTACCTCCTATGGATTAGGCGTGTCCTAGTCGAGTCCGAGCATCTTGGGCACCACTTCTGCCTGCAGGGGTGGGGACGGGAGCGGGGGGTCAGCTTCAGGTGCCCTTAGACAGAATATAGCCGGTCGTTCCTTGCGTGGCGTGCGGCCGCAAACGACGGACCTTGCATAGCACCCTTCAGGGGCTTCTTTTGTGGGGATTTTGGGAGGGATCTTGGCTCGAGGGAGGCCAGGCTCTCGACCTACGCGAGGCAAAGGACGCGCTGCAGGATGTCTCCGCCTTGTCCGCCATGCGGAACATGATGTTCGGGAAGGCGCAGCCCCAGCCCTGCACAGGCGGGTACATGTCGCGACGCTTCTGCGACGTGGTGCTGAAAGATCGATTGGACCCCGATCAAGACATTCTGGAAGTGAATCAAGAGCTCCTTTAAGTTGCAGTCCATGGGGTGGGGCGGGGAGCTCTGTGGCAATTGAACAGACACGTTTGACGATGCATGCGACAAACCTGGTCGATGTCGTAGAAGAACTCCGCCTGTCGTGCTAACTGGTTTTAGACTGCAATGCAAAGGCACACCCTTCAGATCGCGGCAGGGGGGGCAGGGCCGGAGGGTGACGTAGCACAGAACGTGGTCTGGCTCTCAGTACAGGGGGCGACGGGAAGTGCGGCAATGGTCCCTGAGTCCCTCCCACATTCAAGGCGAAATAACCCTTGCCAAGCTGCCTTTATGCCCGGCTGAAGCACGTTGTCCATCAGCCAGGCGTTGCGATGGAGCATGGTGAAGAGGTATCCTCGGAACAAGTGGAATGGCGGGAGCTTTGCTATTCTGAGCACAGAAGCAGACTCCCGTCTCAACTCGGATAGGCGAAGCCAAATTCATGCTTCTGCGGGTCAGTCCCTGCAGTCCTATCACGCAAGCCTCTGCCAGCCTTAGAGCAGGCCGGCGCTATGCTAAAGCTCTTGTCAAAGTAACCGATAACCGATGTGACCGTCTAGTCCTCCCTAAACTCAGGATGCATCCTGAGAAGCAAAGCGTAATGCTCAGGACTCTTCGTTTTGACAAATCTTTTGCTCAAGGTTCCTTGTACTGCCCCCCAACAACCACCAACACTCGTTATAAGGATTCCCTGTGCTTGAAATATCCGAAATACCCAACCGACATACTACACTGAATACACCCACCTTGCTCTCACTCACAAAGCAAGCAAAGAACAAAACCGACCCGGAAAAAAACCCGAGCTTCCGATGTCTGCCGCAGGGATTAGCTGATGGACGTCATCGGGAATGCAGGGCTTGTACACCAGGGCCAGCCGATGCTTCTGCGCGCCGGGGGGGGGATCTTTGAGAGCTCTCTAAGGCTCTAAGGGGGCTCACTGTGAGACGAGCCCTTTCGATGGCGAAGGACTCAACCACCCGAAGTGCTGCGAAACAGATTGACAGTCGACTAGTGGGCCGGATGTCCCATTTTTGTGGCCAAACCCTAACGTTTCGTCAAGGAGGCGGTCCTGAGTTTTTAGTCCTTATGTACTTCTCACCGAGACACAAGGACTTCAGAAGTGCAACGCAGGCACAAAGCACAACAAACCCTAGACCCTAAACTACCCCAAAGCCTAAACCAGTAGTCTTGGGGTAGTTTCATGGTCCCTTCATATGGGCCCTTGAAAGGGGACCCTACAAAACCCAGGGGCCCATACATCAGAACCCTTTTTTAAAGGAGGTAAGGGACTCTACCTAAGGGCCCATGAAACTACCCCTAAACCCTAAACCCTAAACCCTAAACCCTAAACCCTAAACCCTAAACCCTAAACCCTAAACCCTAAACCCTAAACCCTAAACCCTAACCCTATGCCCCATATTGAGGGCCCACAAGCCTTGCAGGTTCGAAGTACGGATCCCTCAAGTCCCCAAAGCATCACTCAAGGCGGCCTCCATCGGCTGCACGGCGATGCACTCCTTGGTGCCCCCAATTCGGAGATGCCTCTCAGGGCGCTTTTAGGGTTTAGGGTTTAGGGTTTGGGGTTTAGGGTTTAGGGTTTAGGGTTTAGGGTTTGGGGTTTGGGGTTTGGGGTTTGGGGTTTAGGGCGCGGGGAAGCAAGGGGCCGCTCTTTTTTGGCAAAGTTTGGTGGCAGCCGAGTGAGCTTGAGGAATCGTTGGTCAGCACGTCCCGGCATTTCGTTTCGTATACGGATTGATGTTTTCAGAATGACGCATGCGCGTGCAGACTGAACAGTGGCACTTGATTTGGTGAGGCATGGTGCATGAGAGAGGCAAGGGTGGAGAGTATGTGTGGTCATGTTCATCACTATGTCACTATGATTGCTTCAGACTGGTTTCGCATGGGTGGCATATCCGTGGCTCCAAGCAGTTGAGCGCCTTGAAGGGTTCAGGGGCCAGACCGCAGGACATGATTCCCGAGCATGTCGGAGCGCCGGGGTTCCAGCCCCACAGCACACCCAAAGCACCAAAACTGGCAAGGTCCCACAAAGTGCCTGCTCGTATAGTCCGACTCACTCCAGGCTTCACCTCCAGCGCTTGCGGGATTCCAGCAAAGCAACTCTCTGCACCTCTCGACTATACAGACTCTAGTCGTCACAAGAAAAGCCTTCGCAAAAACGAAGCCCGGCCGAGTGTCTGTTGTAAGTCGTTGGGCACGTCTTTGCTTGAAGCAGGGTGACCGCGTTCTCCTGTACGCAAAACTTTTGCTTCCACTTCCAAGCGCCATGCTACGGTAGCAGGCCGTAGTGTCCACAAGACAGCGACGTAGGATGCTGATAGCTTCGACTACAGAAGCTCTCAAGTATGATTGGCTGCGGGTTTAGGGTTTAGGGTTTGGGGTTTAGGGTTTAGGGCTTCTGCAGCTCTGAAGAGCAGCAATCCGAGCACGAGACGAAACATGAGCCTGGTGTAGGGTTTAGGGTTTAGGGTTTAGGGTTCTGTCTCCAGCTTGCCCTGGCAAACCATGACCGCCGCACGCAAGCAGATTTCGTGGTGCCAGTCGAACCCGGTCAGACCTTGGAGTCACCGAGTTGATTTCTTCGAGGTTCATGGTACCTACTCACCAATTATTGCTGTACTTGTAACTGTACTTCAAACGATATTAGGGCACTTCAGGGCTTATTCCTTGGTTGATAAGTACCATGAACCTTCAAGTATTGCTCCTGCTCTTGACATGGTTATGGTGCTGCTGCAAAATAATTTGAATCTTTATTCAAAGTCGTCTTCTTCTTATGAAGGGCATGAAGCTTAGAGTCCCCTTGAACCTCTAACTCGCGACCCCCCCGCCCCCTCCGAGACGGTCCTCCTCTGCTACGGAACGCAGGGGTTCCCTGCTTGGAGCTTTATGGTGCGGTTTTTGGGGTTTAGGGTGTAGGGTTTAGGGTTTAGGGTTTAGGGTTTAGGGTTTAGGGTTTAGGGCTCAGGGTTTCGGACTTAGGAATTTAGAATGGCGCCGAGACGCGGATGAATCGAGCTTCCACAGGATCAGAGAAGAAAGCCCGAACCTTGTCTGACATGGTTTTGGGCAGTCGTTGGGAGCTTATCATGGGCTTTCTCCACAAGTCTTCTCAGAAGGAAACTTGCCTTTCCGAAGCCTTGCACCAGGATGGCAGTACCCGTAAGTAGGATGGCCCTTAAAACCCTTTAAAGACATCTTCAAGAAAAAGATGATCCTCTTACACCCAGTAGAGGAAAGTATAAGATGGCCCAAGGGCCTGCCTAGGTAAGAGCAGTACCACCGGTATACGAGCCGAAGAGCATGTTCATCGGGGTTCCCGTTCAGCCCCGTGAACAAATTGTGAATCTTTGTCCAGGAGCCTGCACCCAAGAGCAAACGAACCAATCACCAGCTACTGCAACATCACGCGGCGGCCAGAAGCCCCCCAAAGCATTCACCATGCTCCGGCTCGTCGTGCTACGCTCTCCATGCGCCTTAAAAAAATTCTGAACCCAAGGTGTAGTTTAGAACTTTGTCTTCTCCGGCCTAGCCTGTGCAGAGCATGCACAGGGGAGCAAGACTCGTGCACAGGCTTCGTGCAAGAGAGCCGCAACGGGCAGCAACAAAAAGCAGAAACCTCGAGCGACATCGGAAAGGGTGCGCCGTGCGCGGCTGAGTCTAGGACGGTGACTTTTTTAGGCACCACTAAAATGCAAAACCCAATTTAGCATGTGGTTTCTTAAAGGGCGCAAAGTAGTACGACAGATGGACCACCAACAGGCTGCGAGGCCGCCACATGCACGTACGCACTGCGCTACACAAACCAAGGTATTAATACAGAGTAGGCCCAGTCTCAAGCATCCTGGCCTTTCTTGGTGACCTTGTACTGGACTTCGAAGGAGTAGACCTGGAATCACACATGCTGAGGCACTCAACACAAAACAAAAACCAAGAAAGACGCCTACTTGCAATGTCCTGGCTGCTTAGCCCCCCCCCCCCCCCCCCCCGCCCCGGGAGAAGTCTCACACAGGAGCTTCCTCGAAGCCTTCGAGATCCAAACTGAAGTGCAAGAGGCATATTTGTCTTCACCTTTGAGGCCCTGAATCACCACGCCCATGACGTTCTGTTTCTCCTGGCCAGGCTTTGAGGGATGAGGGCTTCCTTTAAGGCTTCGGCTTCGTAGGATTTAGTTGGGCTTTGCATGGCGGCGGAGGCTCCGTCTGCTGTAGGATGTTTCGGTCCGGAGCTGGAGTACCCAGAACCCCGGGAGGATCCAAAAAAGTTGATCCCCTTAAGGGTTCCTAAGAATGACCCAAGAGGTGTATGGGGTACTCTTTAGGGCTTCTATTTTTTGGATCCTTACCCTAAACCCTAAACCCTAAACCCTAAACCCAGGGGTCCGAGTAAGAGCTTGGTGACATTGCACGCAAGCTGTACGCCAGGCCTGGAGATCGATATCGAGGTACTCATTCCTGTCCTGCCTTGCTTGATGTAGGGCTCAGGTTTTAGGGTTTAGGGCTTATAGGGCTTAGCGATTCGGGTTTAGGGCGCAATGGTTTTTCAACTCTCGCACTCGTACGCAACGCAACCTTGCGGATTGAGATTGGCCTCCAGCTGCTGTGTTGTATGTTGCCTAAGGGTTTAGGGGTTGAGGGGTTTATCGGTTTAGGGTGTACAGGGTGTAGGGAAGAAAAAGTAATCCAATAGCAGCTTGGTGCCCTGAAAACACTGGGCTTGGCTTCGTAGAGGAGGCGCACAGGCGCACTGGCGCATGACTCGAACCCCCTCTTCAACCGAAGGCCATCGTGCCACACTAACCCCAAAACCCAGAGCAACCCTAAACCCCTAAACTCTGCTGACGCCGAAGCACTGCAAAGTCAAGGACCCTCAAGGGCTCACAGGGGGCATGTGAGGCCATTTTCATGGCCCACTACTTCGGAACTGAAACGCCAGCTGGGGCAGAGCAGCTGGGGGCTCCGGAGAATTTGGAGGTGCATTGGGCTCTTTTTTTTTTTTTTTTTTGGGGGGGGGGGGGGGGGGTGGGGGGGTGTTTATGAAATTGTAGCGGGCTGTTGGAGGGGTTTTTGGTATGCTTTGCAGGGTCGAGCGGCTTCTCCGGGCACCAGCCGCTCTCCGAGTCCAGCTGCGAGTCGTACCAGCCTACCCGCAGTTTTCACTTTGAGCCTTAAGGCTTTCCGGCTTTCTTAGCCCTTATTTATATCATTCCTCCTTTCTGCCCGCCTTATACCACCCTTACCCCCTTTTCTACCCCCCCTTTATACTGCAACAAGGGTTTGGACAACGTTTGCGGAGGGCTGAAGGCACCTAAACCCCTCAACCCTTAGGGCAGGCTGCAGCCCTTCCGCCGAGCCTTTCTTCATGAGGCCCTTGAGGATGCCCGTGCCCGGAACGGGCCGATAGGAGCTGAAGCTGCGCCCCTCGTGCCACTTGGGATTCTTCAGCACGATCTTGCCTGTGTCTGAAATGCCCTAAACCTTAAACCCTAAACCCTAGAAACCATACACCGTAAACCCTAAACCCTAGAAACCCTACACCCTCAACCCTAAACTCCCTGTTTTCTGCTGGGTTCTCGGATTTCCTGGCAGCACAGAGATTCATGATCACATAGCAGGAAGCCTATGGGGTGCTAATGGCGTGCAAAGGAGGCTGCCCGTCTTCATGTAAGGGTTTACGATGATAAGGAGCCCCGCCCAAAGAGTAGGATCCCCTGATAATTACGTACCCAATAAGGTACCCCTAATATCGTTAACCCTGTGTGTGTTTGTGTGTGCGTGTGTGCGTGTTCTCTTCGTTGCAACACGATCGCTCGAAGCACTCACGAGGGGCTTACCGAGGATTGTGAGGCTTGGTTGGGATCACGTCGGGCTGTTGCAGGCAAACAGCATTTCAAGGAATGTCAAATTACCCTTTCCCCGATAAATTACAGAGCAAAACCGTCTGAATCCCTGAGCCACTGTCTGCAGCCACGCTGCAGGTTTCCTCTTCGCCACCAATCATGAGCTTCTTCATGAGGTACCTCTTCGCTACATGCTCTGCTTCCCAACATAGGCCCAATAAATTTAACGTTGAGACTTTTCCGGTTTTTTCATAAATCTGCAGTTATGCTCCGCGAAATTTCCCGTTTTTACCCTCACCGCTCTGGCGGGTCAAGCCACGCAGTGTCCACAAGTCCTTGTTATAGTGCGTCTTGCAAAGCATCTGCGTAGATGCAAAATCATCGCAAAATGCTTGGTGTCTCCTGTACGTAGCAATCTGGGGAAGGGGCAGGCGCGACAGCGGCGAGCCAAAACCACCCTCCAACATGTGCTAGCGCACGCGCGGTCCATGTGAAGGCCGTCCACGCGACTCCGCCAGTACCCTAAACCACCCTATAACCCTGTAAACCCTGTAAACACAATAAACCCAATGAACCCTATAAACCCTACAGACCCCTCTAAGCCCCATAAACCCTATAAACCCTATAAACCCTATAAACCCTATAAACCCTATAAACCCTATAAACCCTATAAACCCTATAAACCCTATAAACCCTATAAGCCCTAAACTCTTTTAACCCTATAACCCTACCTATTACCCTAGAAACCCTAAAACGCTGATGATCACCATCTCAAGGTGCTGCTCAGAGCGTCCCGACTGGCCGACCGTCACGGCCAAAAGGACGAAACACGATAAGGAACCGAAAACCTACTTTTGTAGGCTCATGAAATAACACCTCCTATGGGAGGTACGTTGCAGCCAAAAACCAATTTGAAAGGAGACTATAGCTGAATGCAAAAGAGGCCACCCTCACACCAGAGTGTATTCTAACCTCGAACACCGAATCCGCCTTAGCCGTTGCGGAGGGGGTGACCTGACAACCCCCCCCCCCTTCTCCAAAAGCAGCGGCCCCATCCGTCAAACCCCGACCCGCCTTCTATATGGTAGCAGATGTACCCATATATATGTATATATATTCTATATTTTCTATCTACAAAGATTTAGAAAACTTCGCTCGTAGTACATGTTTTTAACTTTCCGCTTCGGGCTTCCTTCTGTTTTTCGAGTACCCAACTCCGCGCAGCCGAGACAAACGAAGCCCCCCAACTCAAAAGGCTTCCATCTGAGCTGCGTTGAGGCATCCTCCATCTCCCTCCTTGGCATTCTGCTCAAGTGGGACTGTTTTACGTGCTCTCAGACCCCGGTTTCGGATGCGGGTTATTTGGGGAAGAAGGGGAGGCACATGTGTCACCAGAAGCCCTTCGAACTCCCCTACAAAGTCAGCGAGATGAAGCAGCCATGCCGCTTGGACAGGATGTAGTTCCATGTGATCACCTCCATCACCTGGGTAGATGCTGAGTCTCCGAGGAGACAGAGGCTTGCATAGACATTGTGAGAGGGGGCGCAAATGGGGCAAAGAGTTTCGTTTTGCAACGCTTGTTGGGGTCGAGTCATCTCACTTCGTGCCCCCCCAAATAGAAGAAGTTGATGCGATCTTCGATCTCTTGTGCAAGACATGGGAGGTCTTCGGACCTACATCCAGGGAAAGCCCAGCGCAGGAGCCCCAATTTAGGGTTTAGGGCTAGGGTTTAGGGTTACGGTTTAGGGTTCAAGGCGCATGCTAGGCATGGAACTATGGAACGACACGGGATCCCCTTCTTCAACGCACGCTGCACGTGGCGACGCTTTTCGGGGGAGCTTGGATGGCTCCAAGGTTCCTGGAAACCAAAATGAACCCTATAATTGGGGGGTCAGATACCCTAGTGGGATGAAAAAAATTCCAAAAGATTCAATGCCAATCCTTGAGTGCTCATATATACCCTACACTACAAGAAGCCCTATTTTGGATTGACCATAAACCCTATAAAATCCCTCTTCAGGTAGATGGACCCCCCAAAAACCCCTTTAGGGGTTCATCATATGACCCCTGAAGTCTGGTGTACATCCCTAGATCGGCGCCACCCGGAGGATGGTCCAAATGGTGTTTTCCTAAACCCTAAACCCTAAACCCTAAACCCTAAACCCTAAACCCTAAACCCTAAACCCTAAACCCTAAACCCTAAACCCTAAACCCTAAACCCTAAACCCTAAACCCTAAACCCTAAACCCTAAACCCTAACCCTAAACCCAAAACCCTAATTCTTGCACTCAACTTGAACTTCCCTACTTGCCTCAGATGCGAAGTGCCTGGATGCAATGAGTCTGCCTCATTTTCTGCTGCCACGGCTGCAACTGTAGGTTAGAGAAGAAGTGTCGGCCACAAGGAAAGGTTGCCTCCCTTGACAAAGCACATGGAGCTTAGAGAAGAAATGTCGGCCACAAGGAAAGGTTGCCTCCCTTGACAAAGCACATGGAGCCCCGCCGGGAGGGTGGGCGGCAGCACCAGAAGTGCACAATATACTAACTATACAAACTTCAGAGCAGTGTTGACGGCTTGAGCAACATTATGCGCCAGCCGAAACAAGAGTTGAAGTGCATCCATAACTACGCTCAGTAGCCACAGGTTAAACAGTGAGGAGACGAATATCAGAATGGCCGGAACGCAGACCTTTACAGCTGCGCGCATCTCAGCCCCTTTTGACTTCACCCTCACTGCAGGTGATTACTCAGCCATAGGGGTAAACCGTTCTGCAAGAATAACCCCCTCATTCTTGCACTCAACTTGAACTTCCCTACTTGCCTCAGATGCGAAGTGCCTGGATGCAATGAGTCTGCCTCATTTTCTGCTGCCACGGCTGCAACTGTAGGTTAGAGAAGAAGTGTCGGCCACAAGGAAAGGTTGCCTCCCTTGACAAAGCACATGGAGCCCACCACCCCGCACTGGCCAGAAGCTATGCGACTGGACACTCAAAAGACTCTCACAGAGTGGCAAATTTGTCACATGCAAAGAATGCAGTAATCAACCGCCCGTGCTCAACGAGCACCATCACGGGGGGCACAGCCCGTGGAAGCCCACATTTTGCCGAACAGGCGTGGAACCTGCCTCCGGCTCCACACACGAGGAAAATGCGAAGCAAATTCCCCTGTCAAGGCCCCGGCACGACAAAGCAGAGCGTCAGCAGCAGCGTGAACTTTGAAGCAGAAGGGTCATCTTCAAATAAAAAAGCAATTTGGCCACAACCAGCGAGGCAACTACAGTAGCGAGGGCCACTACCCACGGCGGCAACCTGAGCGGCATTTCCATTCCAGCGATATAATGGCCAAGCTATGTAGCAAAATCTGCGCAAGGTGTGGGACCACCAGTCTGTGTACCGGAACGAAGACAAGCTCGCACGGCCGCACTGTCAGCGAACCTCTTGGAGGAGTCTCCAGTTTAACCCAGCCCTGAAGAAAAGTGCAACAGAAGAAACCCACCACACGCGGGGCATGGCAGAGCACCAGAAGTGCACAATATACTAACTATACAAACTTCAGAGCAGTGTTGACGGCTTGAGCAACATTATGCGCCAGCCGAAACAAGAGTTGAAGTGCATCCATAACTACGCTCAGTAGCCACAGGCCGGAACGCAGACCTTTACAGCTGCGCGCATCTCAGCCCCTTTTGACTTCACCCTCACTGCAGGTGATTACTCAGCCATAGGGGTAAACCGTTCTGCAAGAATAACCCCCTCAACCCTAAACCCTAAACCTTAAACCCTGACCCTAAACCCTAAACCCTAAACTCTAATGGGACAAGGATGCGAGGCTCGGCTGCGCTGAACACATCCTAGACTTCGACCCAAGAGTAGCCTAGGAATAAACGGGGCACCGTCGGGTTTTTTTGCCACCCGCTTAGCTGACCTGTCGGACACTCTGCAGAATCCACCTAAGGTTAGGGTTTAGGGTTAAGGGTTAAGGGTTAAGGGGGTAAGAGTGTTTTTTCTTTGTTGCGGGTGCTTTTTTGCTGTGGGTGCGGGGGCGCGTTTTTTTTTGCTGCAGGTGCGGGGGAGGATGGATGAGCTGGAAAGGAGGACGGCCACGCTTGAAGGGCAGGTCCAGGCAGGGTTTTGATATGCTGAGTCGGAGTCGTAAGCCACAATGACATCAAACCCCACTCAATACTCAAATTCCACCCGCCCTCCCTCGTCGAAGGCGCTGATGCTGTCTCAATCGCCGTGGCTTCCGCCGATACCGCCGCCCATACCGCCCGGGCTCTCGTCTACCTTGGTCGGGCAAGGCCTTGTTTTGGCGGCAGCAATACTTAAATGGAAAACGTTGTGCACATGAATTAAATTAAAGCCTGGGTTGCTGCGCAGGCATGCCGGCGAATGCTGCTGGCAAGGGGCCGTGCCCCGTGGCGTGGAGCCTGGGACGGCGCAGACAATGCCTGCTGACGCCCAGCCTGGTTCAACAGCCCAGGCAGCCTCCATGCCCAAGTGGGGCCCTGGTGGCGCAGACCCTGGGACAGGCCAGCAGGCACAGCCCATGCCGAAATCGAGGCCCGGCTCGGTAGGGCACATGAATCGGCTGCAGACGCAGCCGCCACAGTCGCCGCCGCAGACCCGCAGCAGACGGCGCCGCAGCTGACGGCGCAGCGGCAGCCGCAGCGCCAGCCGCAGGAGATGCCGCCAGGCACGTCCCCGGAAGAGCGAGCAGGACCTGTGCGCCAACCCGTCACGCCGCCCAAGGCCACGCAGCCGACAACCACCCGACGCCGGGGTCGCGAGGAGGAGGAGGAGGAGGAGGACGACGAGTCTGATGAGAGAGCGGAGCTGCCACCCATGCGATATGATGCACCCTTTCCAGGGGAAGCGCCGCGGCGGCCACCAAGGTCACTGGGCCCGGAGCAGCAGGACCAGGCCGGAACGGCGCCGGCGGGGAGAGCGACGCACAGGATTGGAAGACCCGAGACTCCCACGACGCCTCTGGGATAGTTCAAGTAACTGTGTTTTTTTCTGGAAAAAACTAACATATGTTATGATAGAAGTATTACTTTACTTTAAAATTTAAAGTTAAGAACAATATCAAGAATATAATAATAAGCCAACATCATCAGAGTATTGCTCACTATCGCTCAAACGCATGCATGTGTTTGTACGTGTATGTCGGTCGTTCAAGGCAGTGCATGGGCGCGGCTGGGACACGGATGAGGACTACTACCAGGACCACCGTGGCAAGCGGCAGAAGACGTCCCGGCACCGCCACGAATTAATTTTCGCCTTTTTGATTTTGTTGTGCTGTCACGCGAAGACCCTGCACCGCGGACTTGAAGATGAACAGTCCCAGTGGCAGCCATGCCACAGCAAGCCGACTTTCATGTGAGCATTGAAATTGAGTCCAAGCTTTTGCCAAAACACCGTCGGCCCAGGAAGCGAGACGTGCATCTGGGCCACGGACTGAACGTTCAGAGGTGTTTGGTCCAAGTAGCAATCGCACCCCAGTCGCTTCCATGTTGTCGTGTTTGCCTCTGTGATCTCCTCTGCATCCAGGTGCTGTTTACGAGTTGGGAGACCCGAAGGCTCGGACAGGGCAGCGTGGAGAGGGTTGCGTTTGAAAGTTGAAAGATGGGATCATGCGCAGCGCCGCAGCGAGTGTCTTCACGAGTGTTGGACATGGGTGGATGATGACAAAAGAAATAGTCTTTGCCACTAGGTCGGCATGTTTACGTACCATGGAGGGTTCGTAGCAAGTGGACATGTGTAATGTTTATTGAATAGGAAGTCTATGCTTCATCGAGATTCATGTCTCTGTCAAAAACATGGGCGAGAAATGCTGAGAAGTGGAAGCAAGAGTTTCTCGTATGCCCGAAGCAGCCAGCTTTAGGAAGCTGGCTGATGATTGCCGGCAACGGCTTGGGCTGCAAGATCTGTTTTTTGGCGGAGCAGAAGACTGAGTTCGGGCGGTGCCTTCTGACGTCGCCTCGCCAGATCAGCTTGGACAGGTTCCGAAAGCACCAAGCCACAGAGGTTCACCTGCGAAGCTTGGCGCGGTTGGTGGGCTGCGAGTGCTGTACTTCGAAGCTTGATGATGTGGTGGATTCCAGGGATGCTCCTTCCTTTGCAGATTTTCAGAGAATGCTGGATGTGCGACGGAGTGGAATCAGCTTGCGCAAGACAGGCTTCTGCAAGAAAGCAGCGTGCCTCCAGTACTGTCTTGGAGAAGCACTTCGGGAGCAACTGCGATCGGCTCTCAGGTCCTGCGTGACGATTGTCACGCATGCGGATGGCAAGAACAAGCGGTTCACGATGCATTTCATTTCAGTGGACCGAGACCTCGAGATCATCAAGAGCACTTTTGGGCATGCGTGGCAGCAGGCAGCAGAATACAACCCTGTGGAGGGCTACGTGCGGCTTGTGGACCAGGTCTTGAAGAACTTCTGCACGCCACTGGCGTCTCCCCCCAAAGCCAAGAGAGCTCCAGAGCTGTTTGACAGGGAGTTGTACAATCTTCTGCGTGAGAAGCATTCGGCTTTCAACACGGATGCCTGCAAAGTCATCATTCTGGCAGGCCAGGAGGTCGTCAACCATTTGGGCACGAACCCGGATCCACTTTTTCCCAATGCTGTGGCCTGGATCAAAGATCACACGCATTCTGCGCGAAGGAGACTTGGCGAGGTAAATGAAGATGTGGAGTAAATAGTGTTTGTTTTCAAAGCGCCATTCATGCTGATGGTTCCGCCATGAGGATCATACAGCGTGTGTGGCGAACAGACGATCGCCTGACGGAGATCATGGAGACACTGGTCACATCTGGGTCTGCTTTTTTGAAGCATCTGAACCACAGCCCGGAGTTGCAGTCGCTGTTTCAGGCGAATCTAAAGAAACAGAAGCACGTCTCCAACGCGGGGACGTCTCACAGCCTCTCGTACGCAGCCCACCGCTTCGACAGTCAGGCGAAGCCTTTGGCGCATTTTCTGCTTAGTTTCGAGGCTGCGCTCGCCACGGCCATGCAAGTGCAGAGTCTGCGCGCAGGGGACGACTATGGCAAGGACGCTGCATCGTTCTTGTCGTTTCTGGTTGGGAAGGCCGGGGCCGAAAATATTCTGCAAACTGCCCTCATGGTGGACGCAGGAGACATGGTCATGTGTTTGCTTCGATTTTTTGACACCGAATTATTGAATTGGCGGCACAGGTTACCCCGGTCTAACCCTAAACCCTAAACCTTAAACTCTAAACCCGAAACCCTAGACCTAAACCCGAAAGCCTAAACCCTAAACCTTAAACCCGAAACCATGGACCTTGGGGAAACCCTGCCCACCCAAAGAACTACTCTCACGGCAATGCATTTTCATCTTGATTTCTTCGGCCCCATGTTCTTCGGCGTCTAACGTGGTGTCCTTTTCTTGTCCAGGCATTGGCGTCGCATCCGGTTTGGACCGAATTATTGAATTGGCGGCACAGGTTACCCCGGTCTAACCCTAAACCCTAAACCTTAAACTCTAAACCCGAAACCCTAGACCTAAACCCGAAAGCCTAAACCCTAAACCTTAAACCCGAAACCATGGACCTTGGGGAAACCCTGCCCACCCAAAGAACTACTCTCACGGCAATGCATTTTCATCTTGATTTCTTCGGCCCCATGTTCTTCGGCCTTCCACCACAAGCGTGGTTGTCCTGCCCAGCAGAATTGGACGGTGGGCGGAGGGACTTGGCGTTTAGGGCTCAGGGTTTGGCTATAGGGGCTTGTGCAATGAGAATGGGTGCTTGGGCACCGCGCATTGCATGTATATAGGGACTATGAATGAGGGGATATCTTGGATGTATTTAGTTGTGTATTGCTCGGTCTACTGTCGCTTCGTCCGTCTGTGACCCAAACAAGCGTGACGAAAACAAGGGACAGCCAACCGCCAAGCCGCCACCGATCGCTGTCTAAACTCCGACGAACCCTAAACCTTAAAGCCTAAAGCCTACAGACCAGGCTTCTCTCGCGCAAAGCAAAGATTCCGAAGCACTGCAATGGCTCGAAGGAAGGGAATTCAGCTCGCACAGTCTGCACAGCCAAAACGACGAACGCCTGCATTCGGGCCAAGCACCGCTGCCTCGTAGCAGCCGCTACGAAGCCAGGACCGCCCACAGTCAGGGGCCCGGACCCCCACTCTGGCCTGGAATCCTGACGATGTGCGTCTTGGCGAAGTGGCATCGAAGTTGGAGCGCGTGGCAATGTTTTGCTCCGTGGACGCGTCTGCATTGCGATAAAGTACCAGCACTTCCTGACAAACCCTAAACCCTGACCCTCTGAATTGCGTAGGGCCAGCCCTTTCAGGCTCAGCCTTGTTAGGTCCCTGCAAAAACCTTTCAGGGTTTAGGGTTTGGATTCAGGTTCAGGGTTCAGGGTCTGCGCGTGTTTTTTTTTGCTGCGGAGTGCGGGGGGCGCGTTTTTTTTTTTGTTGCGGGTGCCGTGGGGGCGCGTTTTCTTTTTTGCGTGGTGCGGAGCGTTTTGCTGTTTCTCTATATTACTATGAAAACCTTTATTTTCTCTGTATTTTCAGACTTCTCTTTATTTCACGAGGAAGACATGAGAGAGGAATACATGAAAAGCTAATTCTCTATATTGTCATAAGAGTACATGCATTATCTCTATTGTGACTCGTAGACAACAAGTGTTTTTGTTCATGTCTCATAACACAAGCTCTATTTTCTCGATTCTTTACTAAGAAGACGTTTATATCTCTATTTTTAAACGGAAAACTCAACTTCCACCATAAGGTCTGAATTTTCGTAGGAAAGCAAGCATATATTCCCTCTTTCTTCAGGGGGTTGGGGGCTGCGCAGACCGCCGCATTTGAAAAACACATCATGGAAGGGATTCGTAAGCTTTGAAGCAGGCTTGCCGGCTAAAAAAAGCGGGGGGGTTGGGGGGGGCGCAGCCCCCCCCATTTGCAAACACAATGCTCGCATCATCATGGGTTTGGAAGGGATTCGTATGATTGAAGCAAGTTTGCCCGGCTAAAAAGCGCAGCCCCACCCCCCCCCTTTCAAGCGGGGGGGAATGCTCATGATGGGTTCGGAAAGGATTCATTTGCTTTGAAGCAAGCGGCATGGCTTTAAGAAGCGGGGGGGTTGGGGGGGGGGCGCAGCCCCCCCCTATTTGCAAACCCAATGCTGGCATGATAGGCTTGGACAGGATTCATATGCTGAGAAGCGACCTGGCACGGTTTTAAAGAGGGGGGGGGGGGTCGGGCGGGGTGCAGCTCCCTCCACCGTTTGCAAACACAATGCTCGCATGATGGCCTTGGGAAGGATTCAGTGCTTTGAAAACGCTTGCACAGTTTAAAGGAGGGGGGGCGTTGGGGACGGGGTTGGGGAGGAAATTGCAAAACAAATGACCTGGGGGGTGGGGAGGAAAGGGGGGGGGGGGGGGTTTTTGGGGGGGCGTTTTTTTTTTTTTGCTGCGGGGCGGGGCGCGTTTTTTTTTTTGCTTGCGGGGGCGACACGCGCCAGGTCACTCACTCCCACCTGGGGGGTGGGGAGGGAAAGGGGGGGGGGGGGGGGCGCGTTTTTTTTTTTTTTTTGCTGCGGGTGCGGGGGGCGACACGCGCCAGGTCACTCACTCACCTGGGGGGTGGGGAGGAAGGGGGGGGGAGGGGGGGGGGGGGGGGGTGCGTTTTTTTTTTTTTGTTGCGGCGTGCGGGGGCGACACGCGCCAGGTCACTCACTCACCACCGGGGGGTGGGAGGAAGGGGGGGGGGGGGCGGGGGCGCGTTTTTTTTTTTTGTGCGGGTGTGCGGGGGCGCGTTTTTTTTTTTGCTGCGGGTGCGGGGGCGCGTTTTTTTGTTTTTGCTGCGGGTGCGGGGGCGACACGCACCAGGTCACTCACTCACCGGGGCGGCCCCCGAAAAAAGCACCCACAGCAAAAAAGGGCCCACAACAAAAGAAAAAACACGGGTTCCAGGGTTAAGGGTTAAGGGTTAAGGGTTAAGGGTTAAGGGTTAAGGGTTAAGGGTTAAGGGTTAAGGGTTAAGGGGGGTTAAGGGTTTAAGGGCTAAGGGTTTAGGGCTCATAAGGGAACCTCAACCCAAAAACAAAGAGAGGAATAAGGGCCGACTGGGGTCCTAGAGCATCTGGGGCCCGAACGGCCCAGTTCGACTTCTCAGCGGGCACAGCGCCGTCGTTGATCACAAGATCCTGATCCATGAAACCTCGGCAGAAAGTGGTGCAAAGAGGGTTTTTATAGAAACCCTGTGCAGTGAGGGTTTTTATCACAACCCTTTTTGCACGATCCCCGAAACCTCGGAGGAAAGTGGTGTAAGGGTCGCCGGGTCATCAGCTGCTCATGATCACATGGGGGCTTGGACTTAATTATCAAGATGCTCTACGCTATACTCCCCTTAGAACCTTAATACAAACTAATATTTTGAATATCCTCTTGGGTGGTATATGAACAAAAATAGAAAAATGATTCTCAAGGGGGATATAGTAAGATCTGAGGATGCCAAGCTTGCGCGGCTTGCAACCCTTTGTTATAAACCCTAACCTATAAAACCCTAAACCCTAAACCCTAAAAAGGAAAGTTCCTGAGCCAAGGCGCTGTCCGTCTTCGCCGTACCGACGTTCTGGCCTCGGCAGTGCCCATGGCAGCTCCACTCAAGGCACTTCGCAGCAGTACTCTACTTCGGAGTAGACCCTGGAAAAAGAGTCCTTGTTTGGTATAGGTAGCAGCTTAGCAAGAATAGGAACCCAGAACCAAAAAAGCGTTTAAAGTATAGTACTCCAAAACCCAGAGTAGGTGTGGGGCCATCCACGAACACGTAGTCAGCACCCGGTGATGCGCACACGGTGGTCCACCTGAACTTCAGACCAAACAAACCGTCTGCCCTCAGTTGAACTCAGTTGCTTCTTTCGGTTTCCTTCAGGCTTGGAGCCTTTTGGAGGCCGACCCATGCCGCGCCTCGTGCTTTTCAAGCGCTTGCCTTGGCCGGTTTGATAGCCTCGGCAGAAGATCAGAACACTCAGAGCACACGGCACCGTCGAGGAATCCCCACGGCTCTAAGGCCGCTTCCATCGAAGTAGACTACTCCAACGCCCTTCTTGTGGTGCCCGAAGATGATGTTCTGCTTGCTGCCTTGCATCCATGATGGGCTGCTTTGCCTCCCCTTCCCCCCTTCCCACCCGATCCCACCCCAAAACAAGTCTTGCCACTAGTTGGAGGTTCATGGGTAGCTCTACGTAGGCTTATACGTAGCCTAAATAGGCTTATAAGACCTACCCCGCGTTTCCGGTGCCTTGCCGAGTGCTTGGCACTCGGCTATTTTGTTGTAGGGTGTGCTCAACGCACAACTAAACAACAGCAGAAGTCACAAGTTAGCAGTTTGGGTACCTCACGTGACGAAGGAACAACTAGCTCTCATCCTCTCGGCGTGGTAAGGGGTCTCTGCAATTCTCGGTAGGGCCTCAAAAAGGCTTTCACAGCACGGCCATGCACGGCCACATTTGAGGCCCCCCAAAAGAGAGAAGGTATAGCAGATGCTCATGGCTTTTTTCTAGCCTACAACGTATATGCCATGTGCATCCAGATGTCTTCTTATGGACTCCCGACCCGCCAGGCCTTGGAGGATGCGCTCCGCCGCCCACACCGAGGTGTAGCGCGTGACGGCACAGACCTGAGTGTTAACAAGGAGGTCGGGGCAGAAGGCCAACAAGGCTAACGTTGAAACGGTCCATAGGCCCCCAGATGGCAATGGTTGCTGTATCTTCAACTTGACTCATGTGCTTGTGGGTGCACGGATTATTCGGCCACAACTCGAGAGACGGGGCGCTGTGTAGTGGTCCCGCAGCGCCCCTGTGAACCGGAACACGTCCGTGTTCGATCCTGCGACAGACGGAAACGGATGGAGACGCCTTGAAACATATATATATATATTATATTTGTTTATAATTTTTTTATGCCAGCAATAACACATGGTGCTTGTTGTGGGGCTCATGCCTTGGATGTACTTCACGGGGGCTTTCGCCCCATAGCCGCGGGCTGTGTACGTGTGCACCTGAGTCAGACAGCTGCGGCTCAATGGGGGTTCAACCGAGGTTTCTTCGGAGACTCGAAAAAAAGCGGTGACCACTAAGAAGCACTACACAAAAGTTGTTTTACACCAGTTCTGGATCGTTTCAAGAATCTGAAGAATCTGAGATTAGCATCCGAGCCGCACCATGCCGTCGGCTCGAGACGGAGGCTGTCAAGCTGCCAATGCCTCGGCATGTCGCGTCACCTCCTCCACTCTTCCCTCCCTCTTCCCCTCCCCTCGCCTCCGGGAAGGGTATACACTAAACCTCAACCCCCAAAACTCTGAAGCCCAAAGATCTTGAAACCCTAAAGAACAGTGAACACTACCTTCAGCCTTCGAGCCATTCCACGCATCTCCGAAGCAGATCCTAAATCCTTCAGAGTCCTTTCTCCGACCCCTTTTACAGCAGGCTTCGAGGATCCAGGCCCTTAAACCCCGGAACCCTGCAGTCTCACAATAGACCCGGCGCTGCTTCTCCACGAGGGTCCTGGAAGAAGGGCTGGCGCGCATTTTGGAAGCTCGGATCTAACAGAGCTGGGGGCAAAGGGTTTCGGGTTCCGTGGATTTAGGGTCTCGGGTTCCTCGGATTTAGGGCTTCGGGTTGCGTGGGTGTAGGGCTTCGGGTCCCTCGGATTTAGGGCGCCGGGTTCCGTGGATTTAGAGGGCTTCGGGTTCCTTGAATTTAGGGTTTGGGGATGCTAAAGATTGATGCTTAAGGTTTAAGGTTCAAATGGTTCAGGGTTTCTTTGGCTGGTTCTTAGTAGGTAGCCCCTTAAAGGGTATATATGTAGGGCCCTCACTCCCCTAAGAACCAGGGGGGGTTTCGGGCTTCGGGACGCTTTTGAGGGTTCCTTGGATCTTGCCTGTCCTGCATCCTCACTCTTGAACCAGGCCACGATCATCTTGGCGGGGACGGCCGTCTGGGCATGGCAAGGATATACACCAGTCAGCCCATGTTGAAGGTTTCTGTTTTTTGGTTGAGGACTGCAACTGGGTGCCTAGACACGCTCTCTGACGACCCCTACATGCCGCATGCGCGTCCACTGGTGCGACATGTAGGAGACCAGGGGCTGTTCTTGATGTTGCTTCGCGGCGTGTGCCTATCGGGTTGGGGAATCAAGGGGCCTGGTATCACGGCGAGACAGCTCTACCTCTCAAGAGGGCACATTATACCAGTAGGCTGGCCCTGAAAGCCCTCTGAAAAATATTCCTGAGTATCATCCTCTTAAACCCATAAGGGGAAAATGTAAAACATGTCCCAGACCACAAGTCCTATTGCAAGCCGTTGTGATCCCCTAGTGCCTTCGGGGGGTTGGCCGGGTGCTTGTTGACCTTCATCTGGTAATTCTCCATGTGGCAACCTCAGCTCGGGCTTGGGGAGGTCCTTGGAGGGGTGGGGGGGAAGGGGGGGGGAATGCTGCATGCCGCGCGCCTTTCAGCATTTTGAGGGAGGTCTGTGGCATCAACCCATCACTCTGACAACGTCTGTGCAGTTTGTAGGGTGGACCCTCCGAGTGGCCTCCCAAGAACAAACATCACCACAAGTGATGATATGCTCCCCCTTTCCACCCTCCAACTACATGAACTACAAGTAGCTTCGCCTTGACATCCTCCAAGAGGCCTGCGCACTTGCCGCCCCCGTGGAGGGCCTCCACGCAGCCGGTGCTTGGAGCAGCGCGAGGGGTCCGCAGAGTCATCTAGAAATAGAAAAATTGGGCGCCTGCCTTTTTGCTTCACGAATTACTCATAAAGGCTCAATAGACCTTTTAAAATAAGGTGCCTTTCACTGAACCCTCAAATGCGGGGAATCTCTGACATGGGCACCTAAACTACCCACAAGTCGTCCCTGCATTCCGAATTCCCTCAAAACCCGAAACCCTCAACCCTGAAGAAGCCCGACCGAAAGGCACCAAGAACAGAAGGAGCCCTCAAAGGCACATCACCAGCACTCCTTGAGAAGGGTCCCCTCTTCCCCTCCCTAAAAATCCCGAAACAGCAGCCAACTTCGCCAATGCCAGCCGAGGCTCCACGGAAGAGGCGCCGATGCACGCGTTGGGCAGGCTGAAAGTTCCCGTGCCCCTGGGGGGCTATTGTTTAGTATGTGACTCTAAAAAAGAAAGGCGCAGAAGAAAGCCCTTGAACAGCTCAAACTTGCGCCCAGAGGGCGGTGCAAGCAAGCGAACGGGGCTTTCATGGTGAGGGCAGGCCGGGTCTGAAGCGGTAGCGAGTGAAGCAAGTGAGATGGGTGAGGGCACTGAGTGTGGTGAGGACGTGTTAGGGTGAGTGAGTTGGTGCTAGGGTGAGTGAGTCGGTCAGTGAAAGGCGGAGGCTGCATTTGCAGGGGGTTCGAGGCCAGATGTCCTCTGCAAGTACAATCGAAAAACACGAGCTAATGGGCAACGTCCGTGGGGGCTGCCAAACAAATGCGGGGCTGGGCCCGCAAAGGCGTCGACAACATGTGTCGAAACAGAAAAACAGCATGCTCTGAATTCGAGGTATCCCTTCCACTTGGCGAGCGGCGCGCGGCGCCGCCGACCATAGAACGAGTTCTCCTTGACCAGCTTTCCATCGCAGTAGACCTGCGAAAGACGGAAACTGTTCATCTCGACTAGGCACGGGACACATCAAAGTCCATGGTCCTGCTGGGCCATCATGACCCCTCAGCGCACCGCACCCGCCCCCCCCCCTCCCCCCGGCGTCCCAACGATGCACCACGAAGCACCTTCGTGTGCGGGGCAGAGGTTCTGCTGCTCGGCTGTGCTGCAATTACTATCTCTTCCATTGCACAGGCCCAAATCATGAATTCCCAGTGATGACTACATTTAAGGTAGCCTTAAGACGAAAGCATCTGGTTGATACCAAAGCCCTACAGTAATTCATATGCTGCTGCTGCGTGATGCTGATTGATACTGGCTGATGCTGGCTGAGGTTGGCTCATGCTGTGGTCGTCGTCCTCGTCGTCGTTCTCGTCGTCGTTGTCGGTTGTGTTGCTGTCGGTTGTGTGTTGCTGTCGGTTTGTTGCTTGTTAGTTACGAAGATGGCGATTATGGTGATGGTGCTTCTTCTCGCTGACAACATCGAGATGGTTGCCCTTGATGGCCGTCGTTGTTCCTGTTGTCGTTGTCGCTGTTGGGTCTGGAGCCCATATCCGTAGCTACCGCAAGCCGGGAAATGGAATCCCTAGCACCCGACATCCTAAACCCTAAACCCTAAACCCCCCCGGCCTTGCACTTCGCCTCCTTGAAACTGGCAGGCGAGTACGCCACCTCGCCGCAGGAAGAACTGGGTGAGATTGCCCTCGGAACTTCCCCAAACCCCCAAACCCCCCAAACCCGCCAAACCCCAAACCCCCAAAACCCCCAAACCCTAAAACCCCAAACCCCAAACCCTAAACCCCAAAACCCTAAACCCCAAACCCCTAAACCCTAGACCCTAAACCCTCAGCCTTGCAGTGCCGAGTATTTTCTCGGGGCTTGGGTGCCAGGCCTTGTTGCCCGGAGCGAGGGTGCCGTACCTTGCCGTCACCCAAAGTAGGCTGAATGGAGGGGTCCCTTGACTATTGTAGGGTTTAGGGGTTAGAGTTTAGGGTATATACATATACACATGATTATTGTAGGGTTTAGGGGTTAGAATTTAAGGTATATTCATATACTCGTGATTTCTGCATGTCGCATAATAACTGTCAAAAGATAAGACAGATACCTACTGTGTATCATATACTCTACCTTGATACAGCATACACCATGCATTTTGCGCGATTGTGCTATGCAAGCTAGAGGATGTTCAGATGCATGGTAGGGACACTTCAAAGCTACATGTTCTCTACTACATCCAGGCCCAGCTGAACTCTAGAACTGCGCTAGAATTCCGATTAAGGCATATGAACCATCAACCCTTCTTTAAGCCTCATGTAGTCCCCAAGGATATGCCATATGCGCGAAATGTCAAGTTTTGAGTCTGCGAATGCCCAGTGGCTCATCGACGTTCATCGTGATCCATCCCTTGGGTCTGTAGCGCGCCTGCCGGGTGAAGATGATGTGCAGCGGCGTGAGGCTTATGGTTTAGGGTCTCATGCTTCGTTCAAATAGGGTTGAGGGTTTAGGGTTTAGGAGGTCTAGGAGGTTTAGGGTTTAGGGTTTAGGGGTTTAGGGTTTAGGGTTTAGAATTGGGGGTGGGGTTTCGGTGTCTTGTGTTTGCAACTTGCTGAAGTCTGCTGAGCTCTGCCGACGTTTGCTGTTGTAGGTTGGGAAGCCGGTGCAGGGTTATACCAGGAACAACCAGTGAGTCCTTGGAATAAGTCAGACGTCTTGAATTTCTGAAAATTTGGACCGCTGGCTGAATTCCTGGACGCAAGCACCGCCCTGTGTACATAGATATATATATATATATGTATATGTATATATATATATATACCATTAAGCTATATACTCTACATGTATATTTTCATCTGTGGATATAGATATATATATATATATGGATATCGGAAATTATGTCTGTGCATGTAAAGAGAGAGAGAGAGAGAGTATACTATTTACTGCAGCTTATGTAAATCGTGTGTCCCCTTGAAGGTGCAAACCGTTACAAGTAGCTTATTGCAGCAGATTGTAGCAGGGCTTCCCAAGGCTCGGTTGCAGTAGAGAATAAGGGTTATGGTTGCGGTATGGAATTTTGCCCCAAAAAAATATTCTGCCCCCCCCTAAACCCTAAACCCTAAACCCTAAACCCCAAACCCCAAACCCTAAACCCTAAACCCCCCCCCCCCCTCAAAAAAAAAAAAAAAAAAAAAAAAAAAAAAAAACGCGGGCGCCTCACAACCGTACGCGCTGGACTTCACTTCAGGCAGCTCTCCTTGGCAGCGTCCCGCGCTCTGGCAGGTTGAGAACCGATGTGCTTCGCTCCACTTGCCACGCCTTATACAATATGCATACACATATACACATACACATACACATACACATACATATACATATACATATACATAGACATATATATATATGTATATATACATATATGCATACATATATACATATATACACATATACATATATACATACATACATGTTGTGTGTGTGTGAATATATGCACAATATGCACCGCATATATATATATATATATATATATATATATATATATATATATTCATGTACAACATGTGTATATATTTATATATGTTGGGCTGCAAACTGGTTTATTATTAAATTACATGAAACAACTACAACTACACACACGCACACAGAGGCATACGCATCCATATACATATATATATATATATACATAAGCATATGTCTATATATATATATATACGAAATGCATCCCTTAAAAAATGTGAATGTAAACATAGAAATGCATATGCAAATGACAAAACAAAAGCACGCATGAATATGAAAATACGACAAGTAACTAGGTACATATGTATATGTATATGTCTATGTATATGTATATGTATATGTATATGTAGTACGTGTATAACAACACTTTTACATTATTTACTTATTTTTATTTTGCGTCTGCTGCTGGGCCCCCTTGGAAGCGAAGCATCGCTTGCCCAACGTGACCGTCTCGGGAAGCTGATAGACCTCCGCCCAAGGCACCCGCTCAGGCCCGGGTCCCCCCTTGTACTTTTCCACGTTTTTTTCCACATGGGGGGTTTGCGAAAACCCCCAATATAGACCCTGAAATAGTAGGATCGCCTTTTTCTAAAAGGCCCCAATAAGGTACCCCGAATAGCCCCCACATACGGAGTGCTGAACTCACTCAACTCAGGGTCGCGCGTCCAGGCGCTTGTGCGAAAACTCGCAGTGTCCTATCAAGCAACTTTGCAAAACTTGGGCCAAGAACGGCACGCCCACGCCCGGCGGCCCCGCTGGGTGAAACCCGAGATCGCTTCGCTCTCGCTGCGCTCTCAAAGAGTCCTTGTGCGCCGGAGCCCCAGAGATAGGCGTTCCGGGCTCCCTGGCAAACTTTCGGGATCGAAACCTGATGGGCGCGTGGAACTCTCAACATGCGCCCGAATCATATCTGTGGCACAAACTTCCCGGCAAAAGAGCCCGTCTCAAGCCGTCCGGGCCGGGAAGCGGTTTTCCCTTTGCGCCTTCGCGTACTTGCAAAGCTCTCCTTAGCTCTTGCCGCTCACAATGCACCATGCGAGCATCACGTGGGCTGGACAAGGCTGGCGGTGATGTGCACGCATGAGTAGGAATGCTTCGCAGCAAGGCGACGTCAAGCACCTCTGAATTGCTCCCCCAGGCACGTCAAGCACGAGAATGTTGTCGCAGTACAGGGTGCATCTGATCTTCTGGGCGCCCTTGCTGAACCAAATGCCTTAAGAGTTCAACCAAGGCCCCAAGCAA